CTTTTCTCAATAAAGTAACACATCCGTGTTGTAGAAAATTCCCTTCACTCGATTGTGCAATGTGTTGGGTTACTTGTTTGACTAGCATCTTCTTGATAATAATTATAGGACTATTGGTTATCACAAGTTGTGGTTGAAAACTCAACCAAGTATGTTTTTGGAACGAAAAATCTACCAAAGTACTCTAAATGACTCATTATTTTCAGGGTTCGTAGTATGGGGCCACGTCAGCAAGGTGAATCACGGGGAATTTCAGAAGTGAATTACACACAAGACGTAAGTACATATGCTGTTAATACCTTACATTTCTTGTTTGATTCTGTTCAGAAATAATAGTATTTCTAACTTCACTTTCACTAAAGCTTTTCATAAATATCTTTGTAGTCGAGTTATTACTTACACCAAACCCTAACATACTAAGGTTATCAATTCAGGAGCGTTCGAATGCCATGTCATTAGTACATGTATATTTATGTTAAGCTAATTATGTCTAATAATGCGATTCAGGCCTAATTAAAATGTAGTACAAGTAATTGAGATCACTTTGATTCATCCACTCTCTAGTTTACTACTAAGTGCACGTTCAAAATTGGTTCCTTGCTCTTTCAGCCTACACTGCTAATTATTCACGATTTATATTGTTTTTCGCCTTATATGAAGAAAGCTTGTTAAAGCTTTCCAATAGCATTCTGTAAATTAAATAAGAATTTTGCCTCAAAGCAAACCCCAGTTGAAAGACTGCCGTTATCGATTCTACGTAACGTGTGTCACGATCGAATTATAATCAATTACTTTTGTATTAATATTTATATATACATCGTAACTGGTTTCCAATCTACGCGTTTATTTCATTAATTTTATGTCATGTGGATCGGTTGTATATATGCGTTTGCTTTGTCCCACTATTTATATAACAGTAGATCATATTGGATAATCTGTTTCATTTCGTCATTAGTAAAAGAACTGAACTCACGTTTTTAGACTGGATGTGGTAATAATATCTTTCGGTTATTATTGTAAAGTATCTCAATTACTATTTGTTTTCAATTAACCTTTTATAAGGTTGGTGGTGAAGTTACCTATCTAATTCTCGTTTTAATGTAGAACCGCGTTACTTCTCGAGGAAATGCACCTAGAGGTTCAGGTTTTGGTGGGTCTTCTCGTGGTGGCGGCCGAGGTGGACGTGGTGGGTTGGGGAATGGATCTATGGGTGGGAGAGGTTCTGGAGCAGTTAATCCACGTAGAACAAGTTAATACAAATCATTAAATTATCCTCTCACATGAACCACACAAATACTACAGATACCTTCATACATTGGTTTACCATATATACTTGTCACAGCCCACAATATCTGTTCTCAAATACACTTAGGAACCAAACCGTCTGATGACTTACAATTTGTCTGCTTTCCGGTTTTGAATTTTTTAGTTAATTTGCCTTCATGTTTTTCAATATGGCTATTCTCTCACAGGTTCTCGTTAATACATGAGATTGTAAAGTATCCCAATTGTTTTTATCTCGAATTTATTGTTACTAACACTTTAAGAAATGTTTTCTGTACTAGTTTGAATTACGAATTCGTTATGCGTTGTGCTACCTGATAAAACCTCATCCAGGCGATGTAATTCTGTAAGTTCTTATGGAAGTCCTTTAGAAACATTTGAATATTTGCTGATACCTTAATGCATTTGTAAATTGATATTTTTACAACACTAGTTCACCTTATTAATGATATCACTTATAATTTGAATGAAGTAACTTCAGAAATTAAGTCTACTGTTTCTACTCGTTTAAAATCTTTCTTTGTACTCAGACTTTGACAACTTTGTCATTTTTGAAGACAACTGTATGTGTTCAGTACATGTACATCGTATGACAGGTTTATAAATTAACAGCCGATACAATGTAGACGAAAATAATGTATAAGCAACATGTTAGAATTAGGCAGTACGACTAAGCGGTTGTGCACGGACCTAAGTGTGGTGCACTACTACGTACTAGGTCAACAATCAGGGAAAAGATAACCTGTTCAATAACTAATCAGATTGTTAATTATCTGGATGATGTAGTTTGGTGTTCATGATACTGTAAAAGTGAATTGTTTAGCCGCCATTAGTGGTATACATCTGAAACATAGATGTACTCTAGCACAGCGTCTAGTTGATATTTTAAAACACCGGTGACAGATTCACACAAGCCATCAGTATTTTCCTCAAATAGCTATTCTGTGTATATCAAGTTTTTATTATGAACTGTCGACTGTTGGAATTTTGGACAATAGGTGGAGCTTTAAGTTGTTTTGCTTTAAATAAACATACTGAGTATCGTAAAGGTGAGTGCAACGGGAAAGTTGGTGTCGTTAGTTTTTTTCTCGAGCGTATAACTACGAGACAGACTGCTCAAAATTCTAGGAGACCTATTTCTCTACCTGGCAGTGCCGATTGAATCAAATTATATATACTTTAAAAGAAAACATTTCTTGAACAAGAAACGTACTGGGTAAGCGAATACAAAAATTTTGCTTTATTCACGTTTGTTGAATAGTAGCCGTATAGTGGTGTAAGTGTCGAAGGGAGATCGAGTTTTAATAGGGAAGGGTACCGCCGACATAAGTGGTTGTCTGTAGTAGCGAGGATTTACAACCGAGAAGTGATTACAAACAATGAGTGGTAAACGTAACAATCCCACATTTTTGGCCACGCACCAAATATGATTATAAATGCTTATTGAGATATACATGAATAAAACAATTTATAACTACTTTGTTATGTCCTAAGCCCCATCAAATATTACGTGGCTAAGTCGTCAATTGGAACACCGACTCACGTGACCGCACTGTGGCAAACATATCATGCGTTAACCAACACGGGCAGTCTAGAGTCCTCACTGGTTCTTCTCGCCATTAATCAATAGTATAACAGTAGTTTGAAGGTCAAATGAAGATATATAGTAAAAGAAATATGATTACTATAAAGTCCTAAGTATCAATGACAAAACTCAGGCGAACAATACAAAGTGGATTTGCACTTCACCCCGCCATACAAACTGTTGGCGCTCAGTAGGTAACGCGATGGCATTTGAAGCGAACGGTGCCGGGTTCGAGTCTCGAGGTGGACATCAACTATAAGATGCAGGTACGTCCGTCTGACGAGTCCAAAGCAGGGCGAAACGTGCGCCCTGGATTCACTGCTAGCCACCACCTATCATTGCCTGCGACTTAAGGCAATCCGCACATATGCCAATAAGAGACTGGTCGGTGAGACTATAATTTATGGATGACCACTGAGCTGCGCCGAAGTGACCTTGAGAGTGAACAACTATTAATTACGACTAAATGAGGGATGTAAAACAGTTGATTCCCATTTACAGTTGATGGTTATTGTTGAAAATTAGATTTAGGGTTTTCATCACTAACCGACAGCTATAATCCCAAAATTATTTAGCCAAATGTATGGATCCGTTTCGCGCCCAAATTTGTGACTCGTTATCTTATATCTGGTTGGTTCGTCCGTAAATTATAGTCTCGCCATTTAATAGTTATACAATAAGAATATATATAACTATTTAGGAGCAGTTCTTATTGTGGCCTGCTGTTAACTAGGCAATCATTGTAAACAATCATTCACTGGACAGGACTAAGGTTATCAGCAGGGCTTTCAATGTTCATCAGGTGTGTCACTCAAAACCTTCAGTTATTTTCCTGTCTACTTGGTAGGTGAGTGCTGCACACTTTCTGCGAATTTCAATTCAAGCAGTCGGAGTTATCCAAAAATAATTGCTATGGGCATGTCTAATTTACCACAGATGGACATCTCAGATGAGAAACACATGTAGTTAAAGTTGGTGGCATTTTTTACGAGAACAAGCAGCGCCCATTCGCAAGAAGGCTGGGAAGTAAACTAAATTCCAAGTTACGAAACAGTCGGAAACGTGGCGGCTAATTTCGGACTTAGATGGCTGTTTTGTCAGTCAGCTGCAACGTAGGACCAGGCATGTATATGCATCGGTCCAAGTTGCCATATCGCATTAGCACAACAAGATGAACACCGGATTCATAGAAGTAGTTAATTCAGTGGTGGTAATATATAGAAGAAAGAGTGTGTATAAGGAGATAGTACAGGAAGATAGAATTAGTTCCTAGAAAGATTTGAATTGATTTTAATCTCTTAGTTTAAAGGAAGACAGAGAGTGTATACACCGACACCATTGTGATCGGTTCTGAGCCATGTCACCAAGAGTCTCCAACCATTGGTTACGATAGTCACGTGGACCCCAACCAGGCAGTCTGAATCTACCAACATGGCTCAGACCAGAAGTTAGTGACTTCAAGCACTGATGCCACGTTTTGGTTTGACTGTTTTGACTTCTTAGCAAATGATACTCACCGTCAGATCAAATATATCCAGGTCTGGAGATGGTACATTTAGGTCGCTGAGTCATAATCCAGTTGTCCACAAATTTGTTCTAAATGAATTCGAGAAATTGAGCGAGTGATCGAATATAACCAAAGGTGTATTTAATTTTCAGTTTGCATTCAACTGAAATGAAATGACTGATGGGCCGTTGCGAACTTCTGTGAAAACCATTTCGAAACTACATTAATTTGAACTATTCTCAAAATGAAGAAAACTTTCTATATAGATATAGGGTTTCGCACATATTCTCAGACAGTTTGGTTTGGCTATGATTTTTTTAAAGAACTGTTATATTTCTCATTGTCAAATCACAGTGGATGATCGGAGTTATGATGGTATTCCTTAGATTTATTTTACTTGTTGTACTGTGTCAGATTGATGTCTTCTAAAAATGAGAATGCTGTATTGTCCAATTTTTAAGCATTGAGATATGATCGTATTTCATCATGTGAGTTTTGAATAAACTTATTGGTAGTACGACAGAATTTTGATTATTGGATGCTTGAGCCAAGATCAATTCTAAACATCATGATCCATCTATAGCGATAGTGGATAGATTGAGGAGACATTAAGTTCCTGCATAGATTTTATATAAGCGCTAATAGTTTTACTGTATTTTCTCTTGGTGTTCCGATTTTCGTCTATTTTCTTTTTGTTCGCGTTCTTATAGAAATAATTTAGAAAGGGGTTTTTGTGGATATTATAATTTAATAGTTGAGATTAATTGATTCACTATCTCAACTATAAAAATAATTGTTAGGTGATTGGTGGTAGTCGGCAGGATACCATGGACGACACATGTACTCATATTTCGAAATTCTTACATAATTTATTACAATGGATTTTATTTAAGATTGTTGATTTGTTCTTTTTCAATTATTGTGTTAAATTTAGGCACAAAAATGATGAATAGTTTATAATATTGCATTAATAGGAAAGAACTCTTATTAATATTACACGGAGTAATCATATGCTTAGTAGTTTCTAATTCTTAAAAAAATTAAACATTCTACACATAGTTGAATTATTTCACCCAGATAACTGTAATGTACTAAGATAAAGTGTCAATCTGTACAGACACACACACTGGTTACCCGAAGAAAAATGTAAACACATAGAAAATAAACACTAGACAAATCATCAATGGGAATAAATATAAAGGAAATGAAGAAATTTGTATGCAAAACAGTGAAATAAAAGAATACAGACAACGAAGAGGGGAAGAGATAGAAATAGGAGTACCACAACTTTCATATTGATGATTATCAATCACAGAAGACAAGAAAATTACCTAGAGAAAATAAGATAAGCCAATGGAAATCATGAATAGCGATAATATTAATAATAATAATAATAATATATGTTTAAACAAAAAAATCATCTTTTGTATTAGTTAAAATATCAAAGACGCAATAAAATATACACATCTTAATATCTGAAAGACACCATAAGTATGTGTATATAGGATAATCGAAACAACAAAACTACATAAGTACAAACAATCAAAAAAATACATGGTAAACACATTAGATCACAGTTAGCTAGGAATCGTTGATAGGCATACATATATGTTCGTGTAATAAGTTATCATCGTCACAAATAATATTGTATACCAAATTAAAACAAACAACATCAACACAGAGTAGTCGTGAAATTAAAAAAAAACCCAAATCACAACAAAGGAGTATTAACAATCGAGAAACAGATTGTAGGATAAGTTTAGGAAAAACCAATACAAGAGAAAGAAAAAGAAACGAACGATACACTATTACATATATAGTACTATAAATACATTATGTCATAGATCGAATTTAATCTGTTTGACTAGATTTGTTAAATGTGCGACACATGAATGCACCGCATCCTCCTTGGTAGATCGAATATCGATTCGTATTGTTCCAGTAGTAAACTATGCAGTGAGAGACATAACAGGAATTAACACGTTAGATTGATGAAAGTTATAAATATTTGTATCTATATTTTTAAGCCAAAAAACTCAGTGAAGTAATTTATGTGCTGAATAGTTAAAAGTAAAATTGGCAGAGATAAATTATGTTGACAGCATGAAGCGATTCTAGAAGTTACATGGAACGTAAGACTTTAATATGATTTTACCAAGAAGCGCTGTTTCTAACAGACTTCTTTCCCAACAATCTCGTCTTTGGACTCTACACATTCACTGTATATTTTTAGCTAGCCTTAGTTACGTGAGATGCGACTTTTCAAGAGTCCAAGGTCCTGTAAGTTATCAACAACTATTTAAATGAGACAAAATACGAAATCTAATCAAAAGTAGGGTTTCTAGCAGTAGACTATTCGTAAGTGTATTCTGAAAATTGTTTTTTAATTAAACAATCGCTAAGTTCATTCTGATTGACCTTCTTATTAATTTTAAGGCTGTCTGTATAATGTGGTTCTATTATTTAATTAAATGACGAATCAATCAATTCCGGATAGACTAGGAGGTTTTGAGCATTCAGACCTATGAAAGAATTTAGTAAAACCTACCAATGTTTGGTTACTGAGATAATTGAAATCGAGACCAGGTTTTTAATATTTAAAACCAAAGAACTGTATCAGTATTCATTTATGTGGTTATAATGAATATTTCCATCCCATTTTTAACCATTACTTTTAGCCCTAAACTATCTCCTAATCTTAAACCTAAACGAGAAACTTTATGTGAAGATAATCCTCCTTTTTCAACGATCGATAAAAGCACAATATCTAGCATTTTCGAGCATTTTTCTGTTCATTTAGTAGGGGAATCCTGTATATAACAATGTGATTTTCATTCGGTCATCTGAAGCTATTACATATGCTTTTGTATGAACACAATGCTGTTGTGCATTTCAAATTTTCGGATGGAAAAGAAAATAAAGTGAGATTTGGAGCTTAAAATGAAATTTTCAGTAAAACGTATGTTTTAATATGCAGCACTCATGCACAGTGTGTGGAAAAATGCCCAAGAATATATGATACTATGCACGTACTGAACATAAAAAAACATGTACGCTACAAATTCTATTCTTAGCGTTTTTTCATATCTTCGTTTAATAAGCTATTTATTTATTTTAGTTGGATTCTGACCTTCTCAAAATTGACTTCACTTCCTCGAGGTCATTTAGGAGTGGCTAAAAGTCATCGACAAAATATACTTCACTACCGAATAATTTGTGGTATGAAAATTGTTCAGTTTGATTTTGCTATTGTGCATTTCTATGTAAATTATTGTAATTTTTGATGAGTAAAATCATGAAATCGATAGTTTGGACATTAACTAAATCGACACATTAAATTTTCATAATCTATTTTCATATAATCAACTAGGTATTTGGGATCGCATGATTACCTTTTGAATAAATTATTTAATGTATATTTGATCTTGTTACTCACATACCTGTCCTACTTATTTAGTAAGGATACTATTTAACTGACTGAAAAAAGTGGTGCCAATCAAATTCAGCATAGAATGCTAATAAAAATCCCGTCTCGGAATAAATTGCATTATGATGTGTCGGGTTGTATTTGAACTAAAAGTACATTCGCTTCAAAAAACATAAATTAACGAGAAACATTGATACGTTATGGTGATTGAAAAGTGGAAAAGTAGACTGGAGCAAGTTTCCTAGTGAGCAGATCAAAACAATGGGGACACACTGATTGAATTGTGTGGTGGTTAATTAAGTAGTTTTTCAGTTGATAAACAGACAGAGAAACATAGAAAATTAAGAAATGACATGATTACCACATGTTCAATTTGCACAACAAAGAAAGACGGAGGAATTCAGAGTACACATATTTGTTACTGGAAGTCTGAAATTATTGATTACAAACTGACAGTGACTTTACAATTAACATCATTTCTTGATCCCGTGGTAACCACTGAATTTAGTAAGTATAAAGCCCCGGTTTTAGTACTAGTTAACATCTTTTAACTAGAATAGCCAAGCGTCTACTTCTAAGTAATGAAGGGAATACATTCATTACTATGTATTCTTTTTGAAAATCACTCATATCATTCTGACTTATAGTCTTATTGATATTAAGAAACAATCTAAGTTAGACAACCATTAAAGACCTGGAAGATGGTGGCGCAATATTGGAGATTGATTTTTGTTGAACTAACGCACCACTGGATTTTCGCCCAGTGGTCTAGAGGTTAGGCGTCCGCGTGTGAAACCGGATGTCCTAGGTTCAATATATTGTGGTGGGGTCGTCAGCACATACTCCTGGGAAGCCCCATACTACGACGAAACAACTATCCAGTGCTTCTAGGTTTTGGACCATTGTTTAGCTAAGATCAGTACGTGATATCAACAAAATTCGACAATTCTTATAACCACCCATACTGACAGTCTACGATAATCGTTTTAACGAAAGTTTTTACTAATTCGAACAAATTATACCTTAATTGATGGGTTAGCACCTGGAATTTCGCAGTATCAAAAACCCAGATAAGGATGGAAATGTTTAACCAGAAAAATGAATAACAATAATTAGAAACAATTATTTTGGGTTAAGTACAGATCTGGAGAAACATTTTTATCACCAGTAGTAATCGATAAGATGAGAAAAAGCTGCATGCTAACTGAAAACTCACGGATATTTTCATTAAGATGCATAACGGTTCTCTGAGTGGAATGTATTCTGTGTAGAGTGAAGCGGCACGATTATCCAAAGACTCAATTACTACAAAATAATTGTACGTATAAATAAAAGGACATTCATGAAAAAAAGATAAGCTCGATGAAAATATACATCTGAGCATTTACTATTAAATATTCGACAAAATACGAGGGGAATGAAATCCAAGAATGGTTAATATCTCCATCTATTTACGTAACTTGTAATCCGTTTTATCTGCATTAAAACTATTCTTCTTATAGTGCTTTACTCTGTCCGAATAGAAAGGTAGACTAGTGATTATAAAACAACCAACTTGCAATCTGATCGCAGCTTTGAAATCCATCACATCATCTATTGAGGCTTGATCGGTCATTACACCAACAGTGAAATAATTCAAAACCTAGTAAATTAATCTATATGTGATAAACGAATTATGATTACTCTATCCGAATGTAACATAGAAGACATCAATAATTGGGCAATCATTAGTGTATTTAATTTGAATTATCATTATTTCAAATCATCGGGATGAAGTGTCTAAATTTATTACCATTAGTTACTTAGTAGTCAGAATTTAACTACAGACATATTACGGAAAAACACTGGTTAGCTAAGAGATAAGTAAATATAAAAATTACTGAGATTTTAAGTATAATGATGTCATGTTAATTAAATAAATTCTGGAGAAAATTTAGCAATAAATAATGTAGCCAATTAATAATCAAAAACAGATTGATGATCTAAAACTTAGAAGCAGTTAATCTAAAAGAGAACTGTTCAAACAAATAAAGAGAGGATTGACGACTTAAGTAAATCCTAGTCAGCATCGAGTAAATAAAAAAACTCATGATCCGGATTCTCAAACAATCAAGTCACAACTATGATATTGCTAGGTTTGAAGCTATCACGAGTTTTTGAGTCCGAGAGACGGTGTAACACAGTGGCTAGAGACGTTATTAGATATGGCTCATAATAGAAGCCAATGGCGATCCTGCTGTAACCTTCTTTTACTTTCTTCATAAAATGTGGTTGCCTCTTCCTTAACTGAAAGATTTGTTCTGATTGTACATTTCCGTTTCCCCCATTATTTTTTCTCTCTCTTTTTTTTCTCGTTTCTCTTCAAATTATGATTGTTTTGTGTGGCGCATATATATTTGGTGCCCCCTTGTACCAATATTTATGTGTTCAAATAAATAAATAAATAATAATAATCACGAGTTCACTTAATCTGCGAACGAGAACAAAGACTCGGTGACCAAAGACCAGTAAGCTAGCTATTTGATGCGTCCCAGAGGAAGAATTCCAAGCTTGGAATGGGGACGTATATTCTGCGAACAGCCAGAAACGAGCGATAACAACAAACAATTCAAAACGTCTATATACAGTAAAAACCGTCCTTGGGGAGAGTTACAATATGGCATAATAAAAGACGCAACGGACCAATAGCATTTAAAATATTTCTCAGTGGGAAATACGACATGAAAGTGACGAGAGCGCCTTTGGCGCGAAAACGAAGAAATTCAAATTTTCTAATTAAAATTACAAAATTAGGTCCTTTCCCAAGTGAGTTCTGGGGATCTAACGTCCCCAACAGATATACTCTTATAAAATGCAAAATATAAACATATAAGTATGAGGTTGTCAACGTTTAAAAAAATAATCAGGTTGAATATAATTCATGTGTTTTGGGTTGTTTGAATAGAATGAAAGTAGAATCATGAATTCAATTGTTAGCCACTATCCAACTCCACTTATAAAATTGAATGTAAGTTGTTTAGTACTGAGGATTAGCTTGTAAAAGAAAAAAAAGATTAAATTTCACAAAAATAGCTCTACACAAAATGCAATCATCATTACATTAATCATTGAGATTTTATTTGAAACCCAGAACCTAGTTTCAGTTTGTCATACTAATCACCTTCAAGCATAGCATTGTCACTTACAGGATGGCATAAAAATATAAACATATTTATAAATAATCAAATTTTTCTTTGAAATAATTTTTGCATATTACTAATATGAGTCACAGATGTAAAATGAAATATTATCATCAAAACTGACAATTCATATTGTTTAAAAACATCTTGCATATCCATCAACACAGCGGTGAATACATACATATAATAGATCCTTTCCTTTAGACAATTAACTCACTTACCTAAACATGGTATCTTCTTTTCAAGTACAGATATTATTTGTGTAAAGACTTTATTTGTATGCATTAATAGAGAATTAGACTTTTCAGATTGACGGATAATTGACAATAAACTAGGACAACAAATTTTTGTTGATTGGAACGAATTCAATTCACCGGTTGACAAAAGGGAAGTGAACATGTCAGTATTTATTACTGATGATGATATACAGAACTTAGTTTCAGGTATAGATATATTATCATTGTTACTACTAATAATGGATTTATTACAATATTGAACGGATGGTATTGGTGAATTATTAGGGGACTGAAATAAAAATAAAAGACAAAGAACAACCCGTAACAAGTTATATTACAAATAGCATTAAAGATTACATCGAGATACACCTAGTAATCAAGGAATAAGGAGACTAGGTAAAACATTATGTATGACAAGCCAGATGGAATAGTCGATAAGCTAGAAATGAGTAACTCAATATATTTACCTCAACCAGATGGCTATCACTCACATGTTTAGTATCTGGAGATGTTACGGACACCTGTGAATAAGCACATAAGCTGTATATACTACCTATTAAACAAATGTAAATCCAAATAAAGTTAGTGTATCTTAACCATTATGGTTGACTTGATCGTCAGTGGCTAAAATAGCGTCTGAGTAATTAAATCAGACAGATCATACCATATCAGTTTTCTAATTTTGCTTAAATTCTAACGACATTCAACTTAATATCTGTTCAGGATGATTACAATCAATGAATAAATAATCCAAAGATAAAATAAACGATAATATATGTGAATAGTTATTGTGACGAACTTTACGTAGGATGAAAAGACTGTAGGCTACATAATAGAGGCAATTAGATTTTTTTTGCGTGAATATGTAGTTAGATTAAATAATCGTAGAACTATTAAACTTGAAAAGATGTTGCAAGAATATGCAACAACATTCAAAGAAATAGATAATCAACTAAAGTTATTTATTACTTGAAGTTAATTAACAAAGTACGAAATGATAACTAGATAAAAACTTACAGACACTAGGAATGAAGAACAGTTGATTTGCTTTAGAATGAGAATCCTTAGCAGTGTAAAACCATGAACACTTAAGCTATCAAACCTATAATTCTTAGGTCTTATATTGGAATGTCTGTGTATTGAGAAGAAACCAATGCAGAGCAGTTCTTGGTTTTCTCCAACTGGAGTTCGCATTCAGTAATGAAAACTGACTTCTGATTTGATAATTACACCAAACTTATGATCACCTTATAATTAAGATTTTTATAAAAGAAAGAACTTGGTATGACGGCAAAACAAGGACGCATTATTGAAGGTCCTGGTACTTGATATAATTCTATCTGGATACTAGATACTTAAATCGGTGAGACGAAATACTTGGCTGGGGTTTGAATCAATAGACACCCTTTCAAGCGATACGCTTTTACTGAAAGCCGACCAAAGGTCCAAATAAAGACCAGGACCAAAGAGTACTATCATAAAACATAAATCAGTCAAATTTACATACAAGATAATCTTGTACATTTCGTGTAGCTGGACGTATCTATCTTCGTTATTGGATCGGTCACAGTTTACTTTCACTTGACATTACAACTATCATTAGTACGGTAAGCATAACTTATTCTTTACAGAATCAAATGATAAGTAGACATTTACAATGGAACCACACTATTTCGTGACATTTATTTAATTAAATATTCATGTTCTCACAGTGATAGAAAAAAAAAGAAAATAACGTACCTGTTTGTTATTATTATTACTATGAGAATTCAATGATGATTTCAAAGGGACTTTTTGTGATGATAATATTTTAGTTTGCTTTATATCTGATTCGAATGCTTCATAGCCTGATCGATGACAAGTTGTATTATTATCATTATTAGTTAATAAATTCTCATAATTAATATTTTCGGGAGATATTGATTCATTGACTAGTTGATGATTATTATTCACCTTTTCTTTATTCATTTTATGGTGCTTACATGTGAACAAAACACAAAACGAAAATTGGTTTACTAAATAAGTGACCATTCAAGCATAATAACAAAGTTTTATATATATATATATATATATATATATATATATATATATGGGTAAATGGCCCCCATATGCCCTGGTACGGTCGAGAGTCCGCTCTCCCTCTTGAAATGATCTCACATGACCACGCGTATATAGCCTTTGCCACGGAAGTCCTACTCAATACGTTCTCGTGGCATTACTATAGTTTACGAAATTGAGGACGAAAAGCGAATGTCCAGCGCTTTAGCCGGGTTGGTGGATACGGAGTCCACCTGGGGGAGTTGGAAAACCCTGATTTCCAAACCAATGGTGCACATGGGCTCCAGTATCCTGAAGGAACAAATGGCGTATGAACCAACCGTTGGTCACCGACTACTATGGGACTGGATCTCCTTACGATGCTCCACTGCCTTGTGGCTCGGGGTGTGGTCCCCTAAGAAAGCCACCTGCTTCGGTTCTGGCAACCGGGTAGTATCACAGTCCTCACACAAACCAAATGAAATTTGTGTGGCGCATAGGTATCTGGTTCTCCCTTGTACTAATATCTATGTGTTCAAATAAATATATTGGTAATAAACTGTGATTGCTATTTGTTTTCATACTTTAATATTAAACAATAATAATATAGAGATTACGACAGACTGAATGAAATCAGTTGAATTGATCGATAGAATCCCATGGACACTGAAACATGACAGTGGTTACCACTCAATGATTAGTTAATTGTAAAATATCTCAGTGCTACAGGAGGTCATTCACGTCTTGAATAGCCATGTAGCAATATTCGAGACTGTGAGTGACACAGAATCCAATTCACCAGCTAGCATTAGTTCCCTGAGATTGCGGCTACATCTTGCTGAAGGGTAGTAACTAGTATGAAACCAAAGTACAATATTAACTGAGGAAACATTGACACCATTTGTCACGAACTTTTTTAAAGTTTTGGATAAAATGAAAGTAGGCATCAATGGAATAACAATGGGTCTCTTTTATGATGTAATAGTAATATTTATTTATTGAAAGAAAAGGATAATTTTAGTTGAACACTTACTTTAGACGATAATTTTGAAGACTTCTTTGGTGAAGTCTTGTGACCTGTCGAATGTTTACTTTGTTGAGATGGAATCGAATGTGGCAATTCATTGTTATCTTGTGTAATAATATTATCCAATACAATATTTAGTCGATGATGTGGATCATTAGCGTTTTCAGTATCGCTTGGCGATTCATTATCTATGGTCACTCCCTGAGTAATGACGATAATAGAGGAAAAAGAATGACCCAATTTCTTCCAAAATGTATTGTATATTATAGGTAGGGTTATCAATAAGACATGCAATTACTATGTATGTACATGAATGGAAAGTTTATACAACAGGCCCCTCTTCAAATGATCTGGTACAGTCGAGGGTGGAGAGAGTTTTTTTCTCTTGAAACCCTCTCATACGGTCATGCATTTATAGGCTTCGCTATAGAATACTCAAAGCCTTCACGTGGAGAGGGTGTATTTTACGAAAGTGAAAGGACAAAAAGCGGAGGTTTGGTGCTTAAACTGGATTAGCGAGGTGTATAAAGTGTCTGCGTAGAGGAGTTGGAAAACCATGATTTCGAACCAAGTGTAAATGGGCTCCAGGATCCTAAAAGAATGAACGAAGTATGAATCTACTTGTGGCTAACGACTACCGAGAGATGGCAGCTATCGACGTTGATTGACTGACTTGTGGATTAGATCTTTGGATCAAAGACTTGAGGGATGGTACATGAGGAAATTCGACCAACTTCGGTTTAGGAGCACTGACAGTGTCCTGGCTCGCATACAAATTTTACCTCATGTGAAGCACAAAATATTTGGTTCTCAGTAGTATCACATACTGTGTGAATTGAATAAAGAAATAAAAATGTATATTACAGAAATGACTATTTGCAAAGATAGGCAACATAGGACCTGGGACGAAGATGTATTGGTTTAATTGGCTACATCTTACACTAATAATAATCATAACAAATTACTATAGGAGGCTTGTGGAGATTATTGATTTTCATGGTTTACACCACAGACTGATCTTATTTAGACAACTGTTGAAGACCAGAAGGCATTTGACAACCGTTTCATCCTGATATGGGCAATTCTAACAACTCGTCTCCAAAAATTTCAACGGTAACCAGACTCAGGACCTTCAGGTCTCTCGGCGAGCGCTTAAATTTTGGACCACTGATCTGGCATACTGTTGGGATGATCCAGAAAAGTTCTCGCAAAAGACACGCAAGGATCAGGAAACCTTGAGAAGCATTTCATCCAATCAGCGTTCAATTGGAGTTTAGCCAGAAACATCAAGGATGTGAAACGTCACATGTAGAGGTTCTGATTGGTTGATTGTTATGCCGCTACTATGTTTAGTAGCATTCCACAATCTTTGAGCAACCCAAGGACATTTGAAGTATTATAAAAACCCTGTTTTCTGTATTAAAAGGAACCTTGGAGTAAAGTACTTTTCGCATACTTTGCGCCTTCTCTCTCGTGTTCAGGTCGCTGTATAGTTCTAGCTTGGGGGTTTCAGAATAGCTTAGGAATCGAGTATAGCGTTCAAAATCGCAAGACTTATAACATACAATTGTTTACATGTACAACTTGAATCAATTGAAGATTTTGCACAACAAATTTGCCGATGTCATTATTCTTGTGTGCTTTAGAGGTATTAGTAGATAACTTTCACATACCCAGTGAAAATGAACTTCTAGAGAGATAAGTTCCGGAGGTTTAGTAAGGAGCAGTGGTCTGTTGGGTTCAACCATTCTGAGTGTGAGGCAGTTACTCATCAATGGCAATGAAAGATGGTTAAGCAATATTGTGAATTGTAGATATTAAACATGTAAACCATCGGGTATGGGATCAGTGTTCTAAAGGTTAAGTGCTCGCCACGAGACTTGAATGTCCTGGGTTCGGTCACCGATGTTGTTTCGGATATGAACTGGTCAGGACTGCCCATATTATGACGAAATAGCTGTCTAGTGATTACTAATTTTCAATAGTTGCTAAGATCAGTCCGTGATAGAAACTATGAACTGATCGATCATAAGTTCATAAAAAAGAAAAAAAAACAAGTAAATAAACTGATATTTACAAACAGAATTTACCTCAGGCATATCATAATCACAACGAACAACATGTGAAGTAAATTTGTCTTTTATAATATAATCTATTTTATTTTCTTCCTGAGTATTTTCAACCTGACTAGTTGATTTAGAATTATTATTACTTGTTAATGAAGATAATGACGATGAGGATGGTGGTGGTGACATGATCGGATGTTTTTTCTTATGGATGTTTTTCGAATAATTGCTCTTCGTTGTTGATCTAAGTGATAAGAGAGGTTATAACGGAACAGAAACCTTTACAAGTCTGAAAAGATAATCGAAATAGCCATATATATACCGGGTTAATGATATACTGATACCGCTAATCTGTCTGAATTGAATTAAGTGAATTTGAGGGATTTAACCAGGTAACTTGATGTTGAAATATAAGTACTCTATGAAATCCAAATGCTAAGGTTCATCAGAGTCAAGAAATACGACTTTTAAAACTCTACAGTTTTAAACTTTAGGTTCCATACTCTCGAATATACAGTAACGATATGAATAACAAACAACGAAACTACTTTATAAAAGACAGTCATATTGTTTGTATGGCTGTGGGTTATTACTTAATGATCATATTTTATTTGTCATAGTAACTAACCAATCTGTTGAAGAATGTTGATTATCGATTATTTATTGTACTACAACCCTTTGGTGAAGACTATTTTGAAATCTAGATGGAAACGGGTTGGCAACAGGTTATACTGTAAGACATTGATTTACGAGAATTCCAAGAACTCGACAAAATCTGACTTGCAAATTGTTATCGGTCTCCCGATGGGAATGGTGCATAAGGTGGTTAGGATATGTATCACGTATGTGCAACTAACTTGATGTATGTAAGAAAATGCTAGTGGGGAAGGGGGTAGACCAAAACATAAGGTAAGTCCATCAAGCCATTAACTGTTAGTCTGAGCCATGTTGGTAGATACAGATTATCTGATTAGAGCCTAGGGGATGCGTTCAACCAGTGGTTGGAAGCCTTGGATGACATGACTCAGAATCGGTCAGTGGGACAGAGACATTCACTCTATCTCTATTTAAATCTTGAGCTCGAGTATTCCTCAGAACCAATTAGACGACTTGGACTTCGCAGATGACCTAGCCCTCCTATCACATACACACGAACAAATGCAGATAAAGACAGCCAGCATAACAGCAGTCTCTGCATCAGTAGGCCTCAACAGCCTTTTGTGGGAGAGAACCAACCAGCTTCCAGCTGAAGAGGAAATTAGGAAAAGACGATGGAAATGGATAGGACATACATTGAGGAAATCATCAAACTGCATTACGAGACAAGCGCTAACTTGGAATCCTGAAGGGAAGCGGAAAAGAGGAAGGCCAAAGAACACATTACGTCGGGAAATAGAAGCAGATATGAAAAAGATGAATAAGAACTGGAAAGAGCTTGAAAGGATTGCCCAGGACAGGGTTCCTCGAAGTACTCTGCCCATCTGTTCCGCTGTTGTTGCTAAATTTCTACCTTTTTAAATTCTAGATCAAATTCAATGTTTCATGTTGATTATCAACAGATAGTTAATATGGGAGGAAGTGAATCACGATATCGAGTCATTTAGATTAGTAGATGCACTGTAACTTAGATAGAGTTCGATCAGTGCTGATAACTCAAAAATTAGGAGATAACAGGTGAACACATCTGCCCCACTGTGATTGATTTAAAGAAATGTCACCGACGTCTCCAGTTATTGGTTATGATGACTGAGATAACCACAACTATGTAATATACACCTGTCAACATGGTTTAGATCAAAAGTCAATGACGTTTTTGGCTAGGATCCTCAGTCTAAACCACAAAATTGGCCACTCAGAAGTCTTAGCATACGTGAGGAATGCTCGGAAGACACCGATAATCGAATACTTTTCAAAAGCCACGTTTCACAGTGATAAGCTAAAAACAAGTGTACTGGTATATATTATACTCACTTTTTGGTTATTAGACGAACATCGTGCCTACCAATTATTAACAAAAGACGAAATATGTCATTTGGATCATTTGACATAAAATGACTATAAGAACAAATGTCTGTGATCATTAAAGAAAAAGATTAGGAAAGCAAATAAACAGAAAATGGCGAACTGACCTTAATTTTCGTTCTACATCAGACGCAGCAGTTTGAAACTTTTTACGCATTTCAGCAGCGAACTGATCGGATGTAGCCAATTTACGCGCTGTATTTAAATATAAATAAATGGAATTCACAATGATAAATAAGTGAAAACAAATTAGGAGCATACAAGTTTATGCAGTAGTTACATAGCAAAAAGCACTAAATTGCTGCACAAAGTAGATATTAATGACTAGGCGTCTTAGATGATACAATTACTTAAATCTAATCATTCATAGCATCGAGATATAACGAAATGGACTTATTGTATCATTGAAGAAGGAAGGCAATTCAGAGACGAACATTTTCTTATCGTCGATTTCATTTACTTAAGCTGTTACAGTCGCATTTATAGTTAATTTTATTTTCTAAGTGTTCCTTAGTAAGATAGAAAGGTGCTAATTAATTAAAAAGGCTTGAAGAAGTATGTTGTGAAGAATTTAAAATCAGATATTGAAAGGAAGCTATATAATAATCGTTTAGTAAAAAAGTGGTAAGTTGAAATAATTGTTCACTTGATAGTTATTAAGAAGAGAATTGCTAAAAGTTGTAATAATTGTTAGTTAATAGTTGTGAAGATAATTGGAAAGGAGTAGGCATGACAAAGCAAATAAAAACACATAAAGACGACAGATTATGGAAGATAGAAAGGGAGGTTAGAGCCATGAAAGAATTAGAAGCTGAACATAATGTTTTTGTACGCAAAGGTTGGGCTTAAACTCGTGGATAGCAATAGCTTCTGCTGTACATAAGCTTTTCATTTGCATTCCTATTGGGCCAACTTTTCGGACAGTATGTATAATTCTGAAGGAGGCTCAAGGTGAAGCGGAGTGGCCGGAATCGACTAGATGCTCCAAGATTGAGCTTCTGAATGACTTCTGTAATCTTTTGGAGAGCGAAACAGGGTAATGTTTGGAGATGCGTTTCAAAAGAGCTCGCTTTGTGAGGCCAATACAACCTGCTTCACATGAGAAAGTAACTGATACATGCACACTGATTTGGTTATCAAGTGGACAATTATTTTATCTTACCACTTTCACGTAACTTCCTCTCAATATCGGATTTTCAAATCTTCACAACATACCACTTCAAGTTTTTTTAATTAATTAGATATATTTCACTTCCTTATTATTCGTATTTTATTTTGTTGATTAACAAGAATTTATGTGATATCCCGCAATATAGTATAATGGATAGATATACTATAAAACAATGTTTGGAATACAAAACGCTAAAATTCGGATTACAACTAATGGTTTTTTTATAAATTATAAGTATGCTTCTTCAGGCGATTGAGCTATGTTGAAAATGTGTTACAGATATTTGATACTACAATATGCTAAAAGATATGTATCATATTTACTAGGTTATACAAAGTAACGAATGAACTCTGGGGATATGCGCACAGATTAACTAGTAATAGGCCAGTAAATACTAAACGCTAAAAAAGACTGCTTCCAAAGTACATAGGCCAACGAAATAGGTGAAATAAAATTTAGTTAAGTAAATAGTTCATTAAGTACGGATCTGTATAGTCGACTTCGGACAACCGTTTAAGTATGAAGGAGCCTAGAGCTTTACTAGCCAACTGTCGAAAGCAAGGTAGATATAAGTTTAAACCCATAATCTACTGTTTGAAGGCTCCAAACTCTAACCAATGCTCTACCAATTAAAATGAGTAGTATCTTGCCGATATTATACTAAAACTCCTTTATTTTAATCTGACTCAAATTTAGAACAGTTCAGTATTGAATTATTGTTTCATGTACTAGTAATAGCTATTATATGATAAGGTTGAAAATACTCCACTGGAAATTCCTCAAACCTAAGTAGATGGACCGAGAGTGTTCGAACAAACGGAGTTACAGCTTAACTGACCAGGTTACTAACTTTAGTTAGACAATAATACGGTAAAAAAATTAAGGAAAGCTAAAAGATTGAATAAATTGCTTACCACTACTTTGTGTTTGACAATACTGTTTGTTAGAATCAGTTACATTTAGACTTAGCTGTTCAATACCATTTTTGATTGAGTTAACATCATTATGTTGTTCATTTAACGAGTTCTCTAAATTATTCTTTTTAGGATTTACCGGTTTTAAGTAATTAGGATTGTTTTGTTGATTTTGCAACCGTTTTGAACGCATCTGAATGGATATTCATCAATAAGATAAAATGGGCAATTTAATACAATTGATCTTATTGACAGTTTTACAAATAATTCCAATTACTAGAAAAAAACTTATTTTAACAACTACTACTTATGAGTATATGTCACACGGTTAATTGTTATTTAAACAAGGCCATAGAAGATTATTTGAACATCTTGACAATAGTTTCTTTTCATCTTCATTGTAAGATGAGAATATTTACGATTAGAACGGAACATCATGATTGAAATATTATGCACACGTTTTAATCTAATGCATTTTGTTGGTGAAAGTTCATTAGGCGTTAGTGGTTTCACAAATTAGTGATAACAACTTTGTTGTATGTTTTAAAAGTAAACATATGACAAACACATTCCATTTCCAAAACAATAAGAAGATATTAACTGGAAATCAATATAAAATAAATAATCAAGCCAAACAAAAATAGATAGTTTTCTGCATATAATCTGTGGATTTTGTACAGTTCAAAACTATAACCCATTTAGATAGATAGAACCCAGATTTGTCGCCTAGTCATTAGGAGTGAACCAAGCTGTAATAGTTTATATCAGTTCGCTAGTTAAATGAAGTAATTTCAAAGTATATCAGCTGACTAAAGCAGGATTACAGTAATGTATCTGTAAATGCTTTTAAATGCATACAAATAAACAAGTTATTCTGTTACAGAGGATGGTTTTAAAACTGATATGAATATGATTCACTTATATTGGTTGTTTAAATCTTCCCAGGATGTAGGTACATCCAGCTAACGAACCCCAGTCAGGATGAAATGTGCATCCCAGACTCCACTACTTGTCACTATCTATCTTTGTTATGAACATATTTTGGTTATTAAAATGATAAACAGAACGTCAGTCGATGGTTGATGTACAATGCTGTAAAGTGGTCAACTGACAACTGCTCACAAGATCTGAACTATTGACGTAATCTTTAAAATTAGCTGTTGATAGCAAAAGACAATGTAGCTGGTTAAGTGATATACAAAAGCACAGTATTATTAAAAGAAACTAACAATATTTAATTTGATCTAAAACACATGCAATCGTAAGATACAGAACTGATTAATTTGCTTCTTGTCATATTAATCCTTAACTAAATGTAACCATATTATACACAAGAAATATGGGATGAGTACTAATTTCAAATAGTAGTTGCTGAACGACACTGTGTCACGCATATATAGTCAATATTTGAAGCTCATAAATACCAGTGTACTAAAATGGGTTGGCTTGTTAAGTACTTAGTATATCGATTTCAGAATTGAGTTATACAGTGCGAATCATACTAGTATAATCATGCAACACTAACAGGGCAGTTTTACCATTTGAATGACTAGCGAATCACAAAACAGACTGTCGACAATCTCACAAAAAATTTTAAAATATCCTTTTTCATTTGGTATGTTTGGTTTATGGCTAGCAAAAAAGTCCAGAAAGATAAGTTTTTCTTACTTTAATGTTGATGTTCCATCTTGAGACTCGAAGTAGGTACCTTACGCTTTAAACTCAAAAGCTTTATCCATTAAGCTAACGGGTGTCAAACAGACACTACAAAACCTTTATTAAGAGCTATTTTGTAAATAATGCCTTGAAATAATTTACTACTAAAAAATTTAAAAATAAACTATAATCATTTACCTCATCCAACTGTTCCGCTGTTAGTTGAACAGTTTGAGATTTATTATCTTGTAAACCAAAGAATATATCACATTCATTATTCCAATGAGTAGAATGATGATCATCCGTGTCATTTATAGATTTCTTTAAAGAGAGAAAAGAGTTAGATAAGTGTATAGGGTGAATTAGGAGAGGAAGAAAATTAAACGTATTGGTAATATAACGTACTGTACAGCTAAGTCAAAAATCGTCGGCTCCAGTAATTACTGCAGCATCCCCCACACAAATATATAAAAATAAAGCCAAAGTAGCTGGGATTAGATCACAATGAGAGGACAAAAGATTGTCGAAAATGAAAAAAATACTTAACAGTTACGCTGAAATGTCTATTTGGGGATATATTAAACATAAATGAATCAAATGAAAATACTTTTGTGTGATAATTTTAACGAAAAATTTTAAAACAAACAATTGAGAGTAACTAACTCCAATAAAATCTAATGCATTTGTCCACGGTTGTTTACGAATTGGTACTGGTGGATTAATCCAAGCGTCTAAATCTAACCCTTCGGGAATAGGAACCTTTTTCTGAGCTTTTGGTGCTACAGGGATGATTTCACCGGTGAACAAAGCACTTATTTCGTTTATAATTGATTGAATTAAATTGAGAATCACAGTTGGTGATACTACGGAGGAAAGTGAAGGCATGGTATCCATTTGAATTGAATTACTTCGTGAATGAAGTTGTGTGTCGACCCTGTTGTCACCTGTATTGTTATTGACATTAGTAACATTAATAGAAGAACTGATGAGTTGAGAATTATGAAACTGATCAGGTAAATTATCCAATGATTGATGATTGGATAATGAAGGTGAAGAAAAATAATTGTCCAAAATTAATGTTGACGAATTATTATTTTGTTGTACGGTTGATGAACTGGATAGAAAGGATTGGATTTTCGTAAAACGCTTCGACACTAAACTCAATACTTGGTGAATCGATACAGCCTTAAAGTTATTTGAAATAAGAGAAAAATAACAAGGAAAAACATAAAATTAACATTGAGGAATGAATTTGATGAGAAAAGAGTTTGCATAGTACTGTATGATTGAAAACAAATAAAAATATGATTAACCCAATCAGGTATTTACACTTTTTGAAATTATTCTTGTAAGCGAATTTTAAAACGCTAGTTAATGAAATTGAATCGATCGTATGAGGCTATAAACATATATAGTCAGTCAGTCATCTACAACGTAGGACCAGGCACATATGATAGTTTTAATACCAAGTTATGAATTTTCTTTCATACCGGGATTGGGGATGGTTGGAAGAATGTTAGGAGCGACCAAACCAAAACGTTGCATCAGTGAAGTCACTAACACCTGATCTGAGCCACGTTGGTATATACAGACTACTTGTTTGGGGTACACGCAACTATCGCAACCAACGGTTGGAGACTGTGAGTGATGTGGCTCAAAATCGATCACAGTGGAATAGGTGTATACATTTTTTGTCTTCCTTTTAACTATGAGATTAAAATCGCTTCATCTTTTTCTACGTACTAAATCTTTCTTCCTGTACTATATCCTTAAATGCAATCTTTCTTTTATATATTACCACCATTGAATTAACTACTTCTATGAATCCGGTGTTCATCTTGCTGTGCTAATGCGGTATGGCAACTTGGACCGATGCATATATGTGCCTGGTCCTACGTTGTAGCTGACTGCTATATATATATATATATATATATATATATATATATATATATATAGGATTAAATAACTTACACGTTCTTGAACTTCTAAATCAGATGAATGAACATACTGGATAAATTTATTCATAAGAAAATTTGTCAACTCTATCAGATGAATAATTAAATTTTGTAAAACCATTAAACTTGTAACTTGATCATCTACAGTTTCAGTATTATTATGATGTTCGTTGTCACTCGTATCAATTAAATGTTCACCGTTTTCTTGATACTTTTTATTTGTAAACGTCGAAGGTAAACTTTGAATAGCTTTACAAGTCATACTTTTAATGACAACACTGTATATTTTGAAAGCATTGAATATAAGTACGGCTTGAATTGAACTAGATAGACCGGGTAGTTCAAGGGCAATTGAGACAATTGAATTCAGTGTTTGTTCTGGATTGTTTAGACTTCTAAAATACACATAACGATATGAGAGAGACAGAGAAAGATTATAGTATAAAGAACAATAATACTTAGGATAACAATATTAATTTTCAAGGAAGTTATGTCATATTTATTTAATACTAAGTTTGAGGTTTAAACTACTATCGATAAGCTATTTATGAATAGGTTACAGCCACTATTTTCACGTAGACAAACTAAGTGTGAAATCATTGTTATCTGAGGTCTAATCGACCTATACAAGATTAGATAATAATATGTTATCATTGGGTGATAAAAGAATGAATTATGATAGTTATCGTACTCAGTAGATCAGCTTTCACAGTACTGGCTTGATAATCAAATGGTTGGCGAATGCCATCCTGCATATACGTTACTAATTTATTCAAGAGAAAAGATTTAACTGACTCTATTAATTCAAAGAAGAGACATTACACCTATTCATTAACAAATCAAACTTGTATTGTTTTTTGTTTGTAACATTTGTAGAATTCTCAATCATGTTACTCATGAGTAACCAGTTTTTTTTCGTGGTATTTTTCCTGATAACTTGGAAAATGTCAGAAGTAAACACTGGATCGATTATAATTTCATTTCCCATATTGAAGAAATCGTATGGTATTTGTTAGTCAGTCATTTCGTGTTTCGATGTATGCATTATTTATAGGAAATAGTAAACTAAATGAATATATTACACTTTGGTTAATCTTAAATGTGTATTATTTGATTGGAATGTTAAAATAGTTGTTTTCTTCAACAAAACAGCAGAAAAAGCCTATAAATGAATTGTGAAACTGAATATCTTCAATATAAATTGAAGAATTAGCGTGAATCAGTGTTTAGTCAAACGAAATGCATACCATGTACTAACATACATGTTACTGTCAACGAATAAGGAAGTGAATATGAGGAAAACACAACTCCGAAAATAGGCCTAGATCATATTTTTTAAATATGAAGGTTTAAAAACCATCCCGGGTTGACAAAACTAAAATATATCAATAAATATTCGAAAAGTTCTATGCATACATGATTTTAAGCTACTGGTCCACGACAAAAAAATGGAAAGTTCAATGAAAAGAAACGATAGGAAACAACAAGCTAAAAATTCGGATAATGACATAAATATTGTTAACTATACCACTGAACAAGGTTCATAATGTTACATAGATATCATATGATTCTTACGTGAGAAATCTGGCAATAAACGATTCACAGAAATTAACGTTACCTTTTAATAATAAATAGTATAATAATAATTTATTTACCAGGTTTAAGTTTGTGTATTTGATTTCCAGTTACATTAAGCGCCGAAAATAATATGAAACACAAACAGATAACGTTGTGAAGAAATAAAGGAGAAAGGTGGAGTACAGTCAAAAACAAAGTACATAAACACGAGTAGTACATAATGGAAAATACAGTTCAGTTTACAGTACGACTAAGGATGATTTCTTTCAATTAACGGAGTGAATTTAAGCAAAAACCACTGTAGAATCATTGAATTCTATTCCGAGCTACGTCTTTATAATGCATCAAGCCGCAACCAGGGAGTCAGCATGGACAGGCAGATACCAGTTCTACACTGTTTTCTTGCATATCGCCATATTGTGTCGTAAACTGACCACTTCTTAGCTTTCTCCTCCTAGCCCCAGTGTCGGAAAATAATACACGAGACAGAAGCTGTTGAGATGACACTTTTAACACATTATGTTCAAGCCAAAGAAGCTAGTGTTAAATAATACAATTATTCCTAGTTAATATTTGTTGATATGATGCAGCATTAAAATACATATAAAGTAAGTCGATACAATTAAATCTGTAAAAATACAGAATACATGAAATTAACTTCGTATCTTACTCTGCATATTCACCACATATCCATGCTGCTGCACGAAGTGTTTCTTGAATAGCATTTTGTTTACCTCCGCTTGTTAACGACTGACTAATATCCAGTAATATAGCCATTTGTTCAACACAGAACGTTCGAACAGTCGGTACGCGAATGGAAACATCCATAAGTTGAGCAGCTAATAATTCACCATTTCGAATACCATCAATGCTGGCTAATTCCACAAGAACAGTAACATACCTAGTTAAAAGAGCATTAAAATTTTACATAACCATAAGTTATGGGTTGAAATTTACTCGTATTGAGAATGAATAAAAAAAAGTTCAACAATTTTACCAACCACTGAATAACTTGATGATTTAGTGTATCGTGCTTTGCTTGATTCACCACTTTAGAACTTTCTCATCCCACTATTATACCAGACAATAACGTTCGTTAGTGTCGGTGGTAGACAGACTTGCTAGATAAATTTTCCAACTAATTTACATGATGCAAAATTCTACTCCAGATGTCAAAATGATTTCATAACACATGACAACTGTGCTCATAGATCATATGTGATTAATTAGACATAGGAAGTTTTAACATCACAATTTAAGGAGACTAGTTATGTTATTTAGCAAACAAGATAGTCAACATTGAATATATATGCGGAAGTGCAAAGAATTGAGGGAGAAAATAAAATTTTGGGAGATTAATTTTAAATTAATTCGACTTAAGTGTGCTGGTGATTTACAGTACTTATTTCCACGCACCGAGGAAATTTACTAAGAAATCAGAAAAATAAATCAAAAGTTTCATTGAACAAATTATCGATTTGGATACACGAATACAGCGACTCTCGAATGAATTAGTATACTAGAGGAAATTACATTTGTCAATATCGTTGAGTTAATCTGCCCAAGTTTCAAATAATTTTGGCAACAATAATGACGATTTCATGGAATTTTCCCCCACTCTGTTAGTTAAACGCAATGTAGAACGTGGTACATATGTACATCAGATCAAGTTACCACACCCCATTGGCATAGAGAAATGGAATTGTCAGGTCGAATCCCATAGTAGAGGTAGTAACGGTATCAGTGATAAATTTGACTAAATCAAGAACAAAGAACACAGCAAAATAGAGTGAATTCATTTATATCACGTTTTGTTTCTTAACTAATTAACACTATTGTCTCTATGATGAAAGCAGCTGAAGAGAATCCGCGAAATAATTTAATTCACAGTATTCTGCTACGCGTTTTGTTCTTGCTTCAGGTAAGTAATAATTATTTTAATGATAATAATGGCTAACACTATACATAGCAATACAAAACAATAGCTTTGTAACTCACCATTCAAATGATGTAACATTACGATAATTATCTTGTGAACAGATATACACAACTTTACTCAATAATTCATTACGATAATGTAAACCAGATGACGAATTGCCAATATGTATCATCAAATGTTTAACAATATCCATTAGATTAGTTTTTGATACCATACCATGTAGTAAATCCAATGCACGTAATCGAATCGACTCATCTTTATCGTCCAGACAACCTAATATTAAATCTTTATGAGGTTGTACACTTTGTGGATGATATAACAGAATTTTACGCATTGCTAATAGTCCAAGATATTTTACTTGAGAGAAATCAGTCCAGCAAAAAAGAAATAGACAAACAATATGAGCAGGTTGGAAATATGAAATTAAAACGTTTTTTTTGAGGAAAAAGGTTATAGAACTAGGATTAGTCAAATAAACATAAACACCATCGAACCAGACAAATATGTGGATCGATCCAAATAGTTACATTGTATCAGTACAGTGATATTCCGGGGTAGTGGAAGTAGTGACAGTATCAGTGTAGTTAGAAAAGAATGTGCATAAACAGTGTGGTTCAAGGAAATTGAATCCCTGGAATAAGAATAACAAAGTAATCTTGAAAATCAGGATTTAAAGGAAGACAAAGAATAAATACACCTGCATCTAATACGACCGATTCTGAGTCATGTCACCCAACGTCTCCAACTATTCGCCATTACAATCATATGAAGTCTGACCTAGTAGTCTATACTTAACGACACGGATCAATCCAATAGTCAATGACTCTATGGGGTTGATTTCATGTCTTAGCTTAGTTGACTATACCTTTCTCTTAGCCTGTTCCTACACCAGATAACAACTACCATCGAGGTAGGTAGGCAGTGGTTGGGCACACGTAAGAACTTAGATGACAATCAAAGTAATTTACATATAATGTAGGCCCAAAATTGGTGAATAGAGTGCATGATAAAAATGAAAATACAATCCATAAATTATTATTACTATTTTTCGGAACTTACAATTTTGATCTGAATCTTCAATTAGGATGCGTAATTTTTGAACGCATAACTATAAAAGAAGATAACAGTTGGAACAAACTATCCCTATGATATTTTAAAATAAAACTAAAAGATTAAATGTGAAGACCGAAAACCAAACAAACTGAACTTTAGTGATTTGTTCAAATATCTGTGGATATGGATAAGTAAATTAGTAACCTGTAATACTTCTATTAAAATTTATTGAATAGATTTTCCTACCTGTATAGAAGCTTGATGACTAGGAATTCCAGAAGATATTGATATTAATACTAGAATTGAAAAATGAAACGAATCGATGCATTAAAAATCATTAATTAATTAATAAGTTATGTTTGTGAAAGATTGATTTCAGTTAAGGCATGACTGAAAACAACAGAATACTTGGCAGTCATTTCATTCTAGTATAGAAATCATCATCAGTGCGCACTCATAACTCTATCAGGAGTCAAATCTAGAACCTTTAAGTTTCACAGTTAGTCACATACAACGTAGAACCTGGTGCGTATGTGCATTGATTCGAGTTGCCATACCCCATTAGCACAGCAAGATGAAATCTCACAAGTAAATCCCAGGGTAGTACAAACAGTAACAATACCAGTGGTAATAGTAAGGATTTAGCATAGAAGATATGACTAAAAATTATGGATCAGTGGAGTAAGTTTATGTGAAGTATTTTATAAACTTTTGATCGAAAAGAAGACAAAGAGTGAATGGACTTATACCACAGAGAACGATTCTGAGCTACGTCTCTACTCATAGTTACGATGATCGCTCGGATCTCAACCATGTAGTTCACACTAACCTACACGGTTCGATTCAAATCTGGAGACGATTGTTTAATTATCAGAAATACTGAGTTAGTGTACAGTAGTATAATTTTGACTCCAATCGATTTGTGATGCAAAGGAACAGTCATCCAATATGATTGGAACATTCTTTTACTACATAAAACCCACTTCAACTAGATTAATTTATATAACCCATTCACTAAATAAAAATTCGTTCAATGATAGAAATATGCAACTCAAGTAATTAGTATCATATTAATTTCCACATCAACAATAATATGAGATTAGGGTTGACAACAACAACAAAGTGATAAGTTCATGAATGATAACTTCGTTGTCTTATACAAAAGTTTGTGAAAACAAAAACATGATCTGCAATACACTACCCCGCTACTACTTATGCTTTCCTACTATTCCAATAGTTAAATGAGACAATACGAAATAAACATGACTAATCAAATTACTTAATCACATGTATTGATAAAAGACACATACCTGCAACAACCGTATTTATACATTCATATAACAATGACATTGCTGAAGTACTGTAAAACAAAGTATTTTCAAAGACACAAGTTAGATCATATCACACAAGATATGATGTTAATTTTATAATTAGAATGGGGTTTGTGGAGATTATAGTAATTTTCAACAACTGGATTCATGATTCGATTTCAGCTAGACTACCATTGGAAACCTGGAAGCACTGGACGACCGTTTCGTCCTAGCATAGGACCCCTCGGCAGTGCACACACATGGATGCGCATCGAATCATGAATTTAACTGTTGAAAATTTTGTAATTAACTAGATGAACAATCAGAAGCTATGTAAACATAGAACAATTAACCAACAAATGATTGTTTTTTTTTCAAATTGGAGGGAAGTAAAACAGTTGTTCCATGAGTGTATGCACGTTAATTTATTGGAAATAAAAATTATGAACGACATACAAACATGCAAGCTAAAGCTTAAAACACCAAATTTAGATCAGGATGTCAATGATAGGTAGTCAAATAACTATACACAATTAAGCTAAAGAAAGACATGATATAGTGCCTAGAAGAAAAATGCATTGATTTAATTTATTGGATATATTAATAAAAAGATTTAAAGAGCTAAAAACAAAGAGAAAGATGAAAATAAACGACGACCGTATGAGAAGACATGGAGCAGTTAAGTTCAATATTATTCATGATTTAAAAGGACGTAGAGAGTGATCACAGTTCATGTAACCCAAATTTTATAACCACTCATTCTGGCATTTCAAGGGCTTGAAACTTTAATGTTTTTCAATTAATTAAAGAAATCTGTCACCACGTGGAGGTTCGCAAAGTTAGGTTACAAAAGGAATACTGATAGTACCTTGAAGTCAAAACAAAAATAAGCTGAGCGCGGTTCAAACTTGTGACTTAAAGGTTTGAAGCCAAACAACGTTAACCATTAGACCATAGCTTTTCTCCCTTTATTAGGACGAAATGAATTTCTAGAATTGATATATAACTTGACAAATACATTACTTCTATAAGCTAAATAAGACTGAACACCATAGTAATTGTTCAGTGGTATATTCCATTTTTTAAGATTATTATATTAAGGTTTGAGATTAAACCCATGTATATCATTCAGTGATACCAAAGAAATTCTGAATGATTAACCAACTAAGAAAACTTAAAAATCATCCCCACTATTATTTTTTAGCATATACTAACCTGTCTACTTACCTATGGATTAAATTGGTCAACGGTCCGATTAGCTTTTTGCCTAGCCTTGGTTCCAAAGGTGTCAATGTGCCAAACTGATAAAAAACGTAGAAAGTATGCATATAAGAAATAAAGATGACAGTAATTTACTCAAAAAGAAAAACACCTTTAAACAAAATAAGTGATACCATTCTTTGTAAATATTCAAGTGAGTCGAAACATATTAGTGGAACATGGAATCAGTGAAATACATGGTAGATTTCCTAAAAATCCCTCTACTTAATCAATTAAAAAAAAACATGAAACAAAGGTAATCTTGTTTTAGAATAAATGGCACATCATCTACTGTGATAAAAGTATTTACTATTGCTAATACGTCAATTACGACTCGATTGTACGGTAGTATTTAAAGTTATATTCAAGGAAAGAGTAGCTAGAGAACCAATGAAAACCACAGAACACTGTTCATCCATGAGCAAACAAGATCGGTCTTAAAACCTTCCAAGTCTTATGGTAAGATGCTTGATTTACGATCTAATAATAAGCATTTTTTTACTTCAAATTATCTGTGGTTGCTTACGCTTGTTACCGTTTCTGGAGGAGCATAGGCCACCTACCAGCACTCTCTATTATTTGTGATATTGTAAGATAATCACGTACTATAACAGGCGATACTTATCCTGCTCTAGATTGAACACCGTTGATCACGGATTCATGTCGAAGCTGGTTACTACTAAGATAGAAGGCATGCAGAAACCAATCTATTCGAAGTTATTTTGCTTGTTCGGGTACCTATGGAGTATCACCAGTCCTCAAATTCATAAAAAAGCATAACTCAAAGCCCTGAGTACATCAACTCATACTTGGTTATTTTTTTACTCAATCTATCAAGTAGTTTAGTATGGAAAATTTCGGTCCGATTTTCATTCAACCATCCTAATAATTCATAAAAGTAGTAATGACAGAAGTATTTATTTATTTATTTTAACACATAGGTATTGGTACACGGAGGCACCAAATACATATGCGCCAAACGAATCTCAATTGATTTGTGTGAGGGTTGTGATACTGCCCAGGTGCCCAAACCGAAGCAGGTGGTTTTCTTAGGGAGCCACACCCCGAGCCTTCGACCTGAACGTCTGACCCACAAGGCAGTGGAGCATCGTAAGCAGATGCAGTCCCATGGTAGCCGGTGACCAACGATTGGTTCATACGCCGCTTGTTCCTTCAGGATACTGGAGCCCATGTGCACCATTGGTTTGGGGTCCGGTTAAAGCGCCAGACATTCGCTTTTTGTCCTCTCATTTTCGTAAGCAACACCCCCGCAACGAGAAGGACTTCCCTGGCAGACTATATACGCATGGCCATGTGAGAGCATTTCGAGAGGGAGAGCGGACTCTGCCCACTGTCGGCAGTACCAGGGCATTTGGGGGTAATGGTAATAATTTAATATAAACAGTGAAAAAACGACCACATATCCCAGCAGTATTTGAATTACGACTGTCGAACTGATAAACTAGTCAGATTGTAGCTAAGTGATGTAAAGTAGAAGTAGATCAACGTTTGTTTTAATGTTCTGTAATTCACGAACACATCGCATAGAGCAAAACAATATGTAAATTTCTATGAACAGATCCCTAATTAGTTGGATAAATAATTGAACTGTGAATGTAATGTATTGTTAATAGGAATAAGTGTCTGTTAGCATACACATACAACATGAGATGTGAAAAGGCTAATCTAAAAAGCTATTTTGTCGAAGTATCTATGAGAAAAAACGCAGATCCATAATTTGAGAGAAATAGTTTGAAGAATTTAAATCCTTATAATCCAGAGATTCAGTTACATATATAAAGTTGTTGATCGCTGATTTTCCTAACTGGCGAATATGCACATGAATCGTTTGAGACAAGAGTAACAACGTCAGATGGAAAATAAGTTTCCATTAATTTAAAGAAACCTTAAATGAGTTAGACCATATATTTAAACACTGGTAGTAGAAGCTTGAAAACACTAGGACAAATATGCTTACCAATTTAATGATTTTGATAAGAACCCAATTATTTGTTGATGTAGTCATAAGTTTAAAAAATATAGGTGAAAGTGATAGGTAATTCTTTGGATTTTTACGTGCCAATTCACATATTACATTAACAGCTGCAGATTGTACACCTGAAACAGACAAGGCATAATAAAATAAAATACTCGCAATTTCCCACCATTTACTTTCAGGTTCAAATATTGCTCCATATAATTCAGTTCGTGTAATCGACTAAGGAGAACCATTAACCTCCATGAGTAAAAATATAAAAAATAATATGGTTCAATTAACTCGGATGATCATAGTAGTGTTTCATACAATTATAGCGAATCATAAATGGGTTGTAAACGGAATCTACTGGCATTATTTTGTTTACAACATTAAGATGTACTACGTTATTACTCCTGGAGCCCTTCTGTGGATAAATAGGTTGAGGGTAAGTTTGGCAACTAAACAACAACGTAAGGAAGAACCCCGCCATGGAACCGCTGACTACAGAAAGTCAATCAAATTTTGCTCTGCGAGGAAATCATACTACTTAATATGGTAATGTTTAAGTACAGGATATACATGCTTTCTGACAAATATAATCACTAGTGAAGTGTGAAGTCTTCTAACGCTGCCAATTTACGTTTTATATAGGAATTAACAGAGCTCCAGCTTGAAAGCATAGGCAAAACTAAAAATGTGTCTCAACCACTAACCATTGTGATAGTAAAACTAATTAAAATTTAAAGAATGAACTTACACAGGAAATAAATGAAAAGTCAGTCTTTGAGACTAATCCTGTTTTTATGATAAATAGAGTACACGCTTATTTACAAACCTTCACTTTATTCGTCTAGAGTTTATTACATAAAAAGTACAGTTATTAATTTGACATTGATCAGTAGCATCTTCAAAAAATGTACAGTATTCGTCATCTGTATAGTTCATTTTACTTCAGTAATACATTTTCAACAGACATTTAGAATAAAGCCGTATACAAAATTGACTTTGAGATATGGTTTTCAACTTTTCTGTATCATGTTCTTACATGATTGTTGTTAAAAGCGTAAAATTTATTCACACACAGCTATTTTGCCTATATTAACACTGTCTCGCTATATATTTGTTATCCAGCGTTCCGGTGAAATTTAACTACGATAAGTGTACGACTGCATGGCACGGCCCCGAAAAAATTGGAACCTACCTGGGTCTGGATCGTCCAGCTTATCTTTCAACTGTGGGAAACAAATACGAAGTGCTTCAGGATAATTAAGGAAAACTTTGTATAGTAATAATACGGCTTTCTTTCGTAAATATGGTCTTGGAGAATTCATCTTAAATGTAAAGATAAAGCGCAAAAAACATGACCAAGAAAATATTGGGTGAAACGTCGAAGAATTGAACCCAGAATAAAAACTGAACAATATATAAGACAACCCTAATTAGAGAGAAAGTAGATTTGCATTTCTGTTCTACGCTAAGACAATGATAAATGAAGGTCATCTTGGTTGTTACATCAACTGGAAAATAGTTACTACACTTTTAGTTCTGTTGCTGCTAAGCAAAATAGACACATTCGCCAATCTGTTTAAATTTGTTACATGTATTCTAGATATATGATCTATCTACGTAGGAAATAAATACAAATTTTGGGAGCAATGAGACCTATAATACATAAAACCTTCCTGAGTAAGGAAATATTTCTGGTATTTCATAAGTTAAGAGTAAAACATGATACTTCAGAAATAGGCTTTCTGGTTGAAGCAGACTCTAAGTTTGAAACTAATGAACTGTAATTAGACGACCAGTCGGTGCAATAACCACGGTCGAGGGATGAAAGCGTTGAGTGACATGGCTAAGAATCGATCACAATGACACAAATCCATTTACTATTTGTCTTTTTTAGATCTTGAGCTTCAGTATTACTTCATACGTGTCCTTTCATGCCATATTCTCAATGTTTCGACTTTCAGTATCATTGCTACGATATTATTTATGATTTACCTTGATAATTTGATAGCATCGCACTAACAGTATAGCAACTTGGAGTAACATTTGTAGCAGGCTTTGTATTGATTACGACTGGCCAGTGAGTACCTAATTCGTATAGTTGAGCGAGTATTAGTGATGTTATTGTGGTTAAAAACTGACACTACGAAAACAAAATTTTTTTCAAGTTGGTTAGAGTTGCGCATATTTGATTTAAAATGACTATAAATACTCTTCAGGAATAGTTGCATATTCAAATACACTTTGCCTCTCACCCCCAGCCAAATTGTATTTAGACTTCGCGTGTATAATTCCTATAGTTTATTTCATGATACTTTGGCTCAGGGCTCGATCAGCGAATACCCTAGCACAGCTCGGAGTTGTTTTTTAAAACTTGAAATGTTATTGTGGTTTCGTTAAGGCGAAAAAAGCCCAACACAATTTTTCGTTCAGATATTGCTTACTATAAACCAAGGGCTAAAGAGTGTCTATGGTATAGGATTTAATACTGGTAAGAATCGGTCAAATCCAAACTAACTAGCTTAGCGAACCCGTCCATAGAAATCAAACTTACTGATAGAGCCCCATCACTGAGGCGGATGTACATGTAATGATACTGAGGCAAGCAAAGCAAAGCATAGTTTTTAAAGGCGATAGTGGTGGTCATTTGTGAAAACTGACCGGAAAATATATTTATAGCCAATGACGACTCAAGTAAAAGGTGAGGGATTTCTTAAACTAATTTGTACTTTGACCTGAGAAAAATCGACCATAAAGAACCTCCGAAAACAAATACTACGCAGATATCTACACAATATTTTTATTACTTAGTACTGCCATTTAATAGGGTGGAAATACGTTCGATACCATAACCTGAGGGGAATAACTGTCATCCAAGTAGTCAATAAACCACTAGGGAGTAAATTGTGCGGATATCGGAACTTACCAGACTTAGAATGTCAGAGTACAAATCCGTGGCAAGATCTGGATTAATGAAACATGCCACACCCGATAAGGCGATTCCAGCGTCATACAAGTTACAGCTTATTAAATCCTATTCCATTTAATCCTGTATATCATTGTTACCTTGCGAATAAGATTAGTGGCAAGCATGAGGACATCTGTACCAGAATGAAAGCTCTGAGAAGCTGCTAAATACCCTATACGTTTGAAAGTGAACTTCTGAGAACTCATAACCTCAACGATATTGAACACAGCCCAGCTGGTATCATAGCCAAGCATTTGAATCTAAGCTTTTCAACAGGAATTTCATCAACTCACGTATAATAATTTGCTAATAGCGTTGGCCTTAACTGAAAATGAACTGTCTTTCAACTCATTTTTAATTTCATCTAGACATTGACCTATGTATTTGGCCTGGTTCAGAGTTACATGATAATATTGCACAAAAGTACCTCGTCCACACCGTGCTTCCTAATTCCACGGACAAGATCTTGTGGATTTTTATCAAGCACTCTCTCTAGCTTCACCTTTACTACAGAAAGTGCCATTATCGGAAAAGCAGCATAAACCAAGCGCCCTCGGTAGAGTACAACATACAACCAGTGTGATTAATACAAACACATCCATGCTTCGTAGACACTTCAGATACGTTTTGATGACTGTATATGGATGGAGAAGAATCCTCATTACCATGTTTTCTGGTATCAATGAATAACTGTCTTGATAAATCCAACAGCATGATTATAGACAAGCTAGTATCGTTCAGTGTGGTATTTTAGTTACTCAGCTACAATAATCCAGTTACATGCTGGTGGGTATGGGATGTTGACTATAGTGTCAAAATTAATGTTGCCAGTACTTATTTGTTAGAAACCAATCATGTACGGCTGCTTCAGCGAAGGACAGTAAATCACTGGTGTGTTCGTACTCATTAAACTCCTCTTGGCTCCGTTCATTGAAAAGGTAGTGGTTGCACCGGCTGGAGAAGCGTCCTAATTATTGCGAACCAGATATGATCAAAGACGTGATCTTGTCTCTGCACTGGCTCTCTGGTGTTTAATATTTGTTGTTTGCCCCATAAAGCGGTATGTTGATGTTGGTGTATGATGTTTTAATCGAGCAATCAGAAGTGCACCACATGTCGCACACAAACATTAGGTTGTTTTGTGTTAACCGTAGACGTAGCAAGTGAAATCACAGGTGATGAAGTTTGTCTTCTTGAGGTTTATCGCTCAAGTCTAATAATAACGCCTTTATACTCGTTTCAAGAAATCCATATCTAATTCTTAGATACGGAGTTTATCCACAAGTTTCAACCATGTCTAAACAATAGTCGCTACATTGAAACAGGTTTTGTATTATCTAGAAGATCATCAAGTTTCGTTATTCTTTCCCCCTGTCCTGTACCTTGACTTTTAAGCAGGAGTCGTGTAGACATGGCTTCGAATTTATCAATCGTGTTTTACCACATCATTATTATTGACTTCAGTTAAGATTCACTAATATTATTAAATTCGTTGCGTAATAACTGGTTATTGATGATGAGATCTATTTTTAATTGAACCCAAAGTTACGGTGTGTGGCGGCTAATCTTTGTTATTCTATAAATGACTTCGGTAAACCATTGACTGAGTCATTATAGAAGCATTTTTTCGTACTGCTTTGTTAAGAGTAGTCTAATTGATCGTTTAGTGCTTGATAGCTACTTAATAACTGTTTTTCATTTGTTGTACTCGATGTTTCTTTGTAGTATATAAATTGTATAGTGCAATCTGCATTTTGTACGATTGAGGTATTTTGTATGGTATAGATTTTTTCGTGTTTCTTCCACATTAGAGCCTTTTATATTGAGCGCAAAGTTTGTAGTTTGGTAAACCTAATACTGATGATTCAGAAAGGCCTAATACGCTGTACAGACGAGTCTTATTCGACCTACTCAAACAGTCGTTAATTTGCTGTACCTTAACATGTACTGGCATTCTGTTAATCATAAACAGACCAAGTATTACTTGTATATTACCATACACTATTGCCACTATAGGGACATCGGTTCAAACAGTTATCTTTGACTCCGGAATTAGTTATCTATCAATGTGCATGTTGAGGACTTGCAATATATAAGCAATGTGTTCGATGGGAAAGTGTATACCAGTTGGTTTCCCTCTTCATGGGGCTCAAAAGTTCAGTTGCACAGTAACGCCTCTATCATTAAGTAAATTTGCGGTTCTTTGTGTTATATTCTTCGTGAATAAATTATTTTAGACACGCTGATTAGTCTGATCTTTCTGGTTTACTATCTGCAAACATATTTGAACATGGAAGCTATCCGCTGATAACCTCAATTTTCTCTGCATGTGTGTATTCGTTCGTGTGTATTTATCAATTACTTCCTTCATCTCATATCTTTATCTTGTTTTTCTGTCTTTGTAAAAATATTACGTTGCACTTTAGCACACTGGGTTAGCATGTCTGTCTTCTATGGTCAGCTTCTTTTCCCTTATTGTCTGTCTGAGTTAACGTATGTGTTGGACACTTTTTTCGCAAATCTATTATCTTTTTCGACTCATGTTATTTTTTTATTCTCTAGGGCGAAATAAGTTGATAAATATAAACAATAGCAGGTGGAATATATATTTTGTCAACGTCATCATTCTATCATAATAGAGTCAGGCACCGGGCGTATGAACGTTCTGACGTGGCACTTCATTTCTCGTACAGATTTGTTTGGTTTCACTTTATGACAAATTACGTGATGAGGCCTGAACTATAATGAAAGTATTCACTCAATAAAGACCTCCTAATTCACTATAATGGACGATTTATATGTCGCCTCAGTTTAGATGTTTTTCCATAGTCAGTTTCTCGTCAGAGAGATATTAGTTGAAACGACACCTTGAAAATCTCACTTCGCTGTTTCACAGAAGTCAATAACTAAAGGCTTTTGTCAACCGTAATCATAAAGTACAATTATGGTATGATAACTACCCAGGCAGACTTAAATATATATGCTTCCGACGAGATATTTGTTGTTTAACTCAAAGAAGTGTAATCTCGATATCTTCTCATATATTAATTATTATCTTTATTCTAGATTATGATAAACCAGATCTTTTTGAACTGTTCCCATAACACCCTTCTTACTATCTATGGCATAGAGGGTAAACCTCAATTTTTCATATACTTGTAAGGCTGTTTAGTTAGGATGATGTCTCCAAATCAGCTGTTGTTATGGCTTGAGTGTACTGATCGATAACACTCGATGAAGTCGTTAATCAGAAATCCATGTGTAAATTTCTTTACCCCACACCCGTTATTTTTGAAATGATCTAGTATCATAGATATGGACAACTAAGTGTCTGTTTCGCAACTTCAAAAGTCAGTCAACTCAGCTTTCTCTTATCCACTGCCAAAAGTCCGAAGATGAGTCATCTGCTAGTTTCTGTAGTATATTTTCAGAACATATGAATTAATGTACACAGGTACTTGTCCACATCACACCGTAAAATAAAAAATCTTAATCATACCTAAGCGAGCCAAAACTGAATGATCCAAGCTGTAAATAATAGATTGGGGACGAAAGTAGGAATCATAGGCAGTACAATAGTGGTTAGTATGTCGAATAAAAGCACACAATATACGAAATGTGTGAACAGTTTAAGCTAATTACTTGGTAAATATACGGTAAAATATACAAGATGCTGGTGCATAACATTGTTTCGGGAGTTACTGTCCAATCTTATGTACTCTTATGTGGTACAAAGCAGTCAGTTCCTCAAACGGTCCCCAAAAGCTACAAGCAACCTACAATCATCAAGAACCACACTCTTCGTTTGTTAAGCCGTAAAAGACACTGTTCGACAGAATACAAACGAACTGACAACAGCGGCGCGTACAGGCAATACAAACATATAAGGAACATATGCACGAAGGCTATAAGAGAGGACAGGCTTCAGTACCAGATAAAGCTTATGGATAAATTTGTCTCCAATCCGAAAAGCTCATTTCGTTACGCAGCCTCACTTCGTCAAGCCAAAGATGGAGTTTTCCTACTGCTAGGTCCTAACGACCCGACCAATAACGACGGCGACGCCACTAACCTTTTAGCTAAACAATACTCCTGGACATTTCGACCGACCCACATCAACTATACTGGTGACAGCTTGATCTGCAACTGTACAGGACTTTCGTAGTGAACCTGAGCGCTGACGTGGTTTTCGGAAACTGCAGCACCTAAGAAAAGAAACTTCTCCTGGCCCATATATGGTCCATTCTGCTATACTGAGGGAATCAACTTCAATCCTGGCAACACCGCTTAACGTGATGTTCTCACACTCTCTAAGTCGAGGCAACCTACCGGAAAATTGGAAGCTGGCTTATTTCACATCAATTTTCAAAGAAGGTCGACACAACGAACCTTCAAGCTACCGACCGGTGGCTCTTCTCTCTATACCTTCAAAAATCATGGAGTCCCTGATATGCGATGGTATACATGACTATTTGCTGTCCTTAAATTTCTTCTCACCCCAACAGTATGGTTTCAGAAAGGGTTACTCTTGTATAACCAACCTGCTGACTACGGTAGACAGATGAACAAGCATCCTCTATCGCAAGGGGAAAATGGATATCATTTACCCTGATTTCTCAAAAGCTTTTGACAGGGTCAACCATATATGTGTTATCAATAAGCTCAAATGATTGGGCATCAGACCACCTCTAATTGATTGGCTGATTTCATATCTGAAAAATCGATATTTTAAGGTCAGGATTAACTTCACTTTATCTCAGGCTATGGGATGTCCTGGTGGGGTCCCCCCAGGGCTCAGTGCTAGGACCTCTTCTCTTCTTGATTTATATGAATGATCTTCATCAACAGGTATCGTCAGAATTACTACTTTTTGCCGATGACGTGAAACTTTGGAGAGAGATACGCAATCATGACGATATACAGGCACTTCAGAAGGATCCGACTCAACTTCAATGTTGGGCAGACGATAAGGGACTTACTTTCAAAACTTCAAAGCGTAAAGTGGTCCATCTGCGACATGTCGCAGACTACAGTTACAACTTAGGAAACTTTTCTCTAGTAGTATCTCGAGTCGAAAAAGATTTAGGAGTCCTGGTGCCCTACGATTTAAAGTCTTAAGCTAACTGTGACAAAAATGCCTTTCGAGAAAACGTTGCACTAGTAACATTGAAGCGCATTTTGGCCAGTTTGACGGAAGAACTTTCCACATAATCTTCAGCAGTTCTATTCGTCCCCAATCAGACTACGGAATCATAATATTTCCTACCTCACTCCAAAAGGATAGGAACATTCTCGAGCGTATCCCACGGCGAGCAACGAAATCAGTTCGAGGACTCCGATTTAAACCTTATGAAGAGCACCTTCAATTACTTAACCCTTACCATTAGAGCATAGGCGTCTTAGAGGTGACTTTCTGATGGCTTACAGTATATTTTACACTTCTGGACATCCTCTTAAACACCTACTTAAGCTTAGTCCCAATAGTAACCTATGGGGTAGCACCCGGAAAGTGGAGATACAACATAGCAGAACGGACTGTAGACACATTTTCTACTCCTTAAGAGTTGTCAAATGCTGGAATATATATATATATATATATATATATATATATATATATCGAAGAAGTCTCAATAACACCACTACATGAAATTATTTGATATAATGGCACACTTCGTTTGATGTTAGGTAATTGATCTAAATCGACAAAACGCCTTGTTTCATCTTGGTTCCCTTCTTGTTCTGTGTGATCAACAAGCTGAATATAAAAAATCAATGAATCTAATGTTTATTATGGGTTTGAACCTATTTAATTCGTTGATATAGTTTAAGACATTACCACACTATAGCCATTAGTATATTTATATCTTTCTTCAAGAGTAGTCTTCACAAACCTTTTTGAAATATGTAAACATGTTCTTTGAATAATTTGAAAAAGAGTAAATAAGAGTAAATAGAAGCATTTATACACAAGTATTATATATATATATATATATATATATATATATATATATATATATATATATATGGAAAGAAATGTACAAGTCATAAAGTTTGATGAAGATGTTCTTTTTTTACAAAAAGTTTTGAACCTTTTCATGTGACAATTTTCCTTTTGTAAAATAAATCAAAATGATAAAGAGACAAAGAGAATAAAGTGGAAAAAAGGGTATGGAATTACTGCTATCAACGATAATAAGTAATAGTATTTGTATTGTTTTTTTTATTATAATAGAATAGAAAATAAATCTGTTATTCATCTGAGATAAAAGTTGTTGTTTTTCTTATTTTGTTTTTTTAAAAAATTTGATTTTATTCAAAAGGTTAAAGAGATTTCATGATTTTATATTATTCACAATATTTTGATTTATTTTCCTATTGTTCTATTCATTTATTAGAATAGAAGTCTTTTTCGATGGCAAAATGATCACTGAATAAGTTCAGTTGAAATAGGATAAAATAAAAGAAAAAAAGTAATAAAATAAATAAGTGAAAGATCAAAAAAAAAGAAATGAATGTTTATATTAGAATGTTTAAAATCAAGTTTACTATATTACATAATATTACAATGGTTTAATAAACCCAATTAAGAAATACACATTCATAATATTAATACTAATGCTAATAATAGTAATAATAATCATCATTGTACTCTGTAACAAGACAATTAATTTTTAGAATATGAAATTATGTAATAATTATAATCTTGTAGAAGAATTTGAATCAGGTCTAGAATAAAATATGTCCAAATAATCAGGTAAAGTTGGATTTTCTTGTCCAACAGGATAAAGTAATAATTGTTGATTATTATTTCGTCCTAGACTATGCACCTGAAAGTAGTTTCAAAGAGAAAAACAAAAACAAAAATTAAATCAACACAAATGAGTGTTTTTTATATTGTTCAGCAAGAGATAGTATTAGTTATTAAACCATTTTAATCTAAGAAGCATTGTTCCTACTATGAGACAACTTAGGAGTATTCATCAATGATTCTAAGTCAGTCAGTCAGCTAAAACGTACGACTAGGCAAATATACTCATCAGTACAAGTAATCACACCTCATTAGCACAACAAGATGAACACTGAATTCATAAATGTAGTTAATTCAATGATGGAAATATATAAAAGAAAGATTGCATATTAGGATATAGTACAAGAAGAAAGAATTAGTTGGTAGAAAGAAAGATTTGAAATGATTTTGATCTCTTGGTTTAAGAGAAAACAAAGAATGTATATACCCAATCCGCTGTCACACACAGTCTCCGACCATTGGTTACGATAGTCACGCGGACCCCAACCAAGCAGTCTGCATCTACCACCATGGCTCAGATCAGAAGTTAGTGAACTCAAACATTGATGCCACGTTTTGGTTTGGCCAATCCTAACATTCTTCCAACCATCCCCAACACTAGTCAGCATTGCACGTCGTGGTAATCGGTGTTCAGGCATACACAACATGTGACCCAACCATATCAGTCGATGAAGATTCACAACCTCATCAGCTGATTTACCATCATTCCCTAATACCCTGCGTCTAACCTCAATATTACTTACCCGGTGATCCCAGCAGTTGCGAGCAGTATTTCTAAGACATGTGTGATCAAATACTAGTAGCTTTCGACTATCTTCTCCCCTTGTTGGCCACGTTTCGCAGCCATAAAGTAGAACAGAACAAACTGCTGGGCAGTATACTCGTCCTTTAATTGATAGACGGATATCTCACCTTCACAATAGGTGACGTAGGTTGACGAAAGCCAAACGAGCTTTTCGAATGTGTGCTGAGATTTCGTTAGATATCAACCCATTAGAGCTGATCAGACTTCCAAGATAAGTGAAGTTGTCAACGCGTTCGACTACTTCACTCTCTATCCTTAGTTCAGGTGTTTACTCAGGCCATTCCTGAAGCAACAACTTGTATTAAGATGGGGAGAAGCGCATCCCAAACATTCTGGCATTGTTGCTCGGTGCTACCAAAACACTCTGCATTTTATCAGAGTCTTCATCAAACAGGACTATATCATCTGCATATTCTAAGTCGATGAGGGCGTTATTTACATCAGTAGGTCTACGATTAAGTTAAAAAAAATGGAGAAAGTGGACAGCTTTGAAGGACGTCACTTGAGGTTACAAAATCAGATGACAGTTTGCCATAAACTGTGACTCGACTAGTAGTGTTCGAGTAAAGAGCCTTTACAAGGTTTATGTACTTCTGATGTACACCTTTCAATGACAGACACTGCCACAGAACCTCTCGGTCTGCAGAGTCAAATGCTGCTTTTAAGTCAAGAAAGACCACTATTGTGTTCTAGAACCTGATGAATGGTGAAAACCAATCAGAAATGGAATGTCAGTCAAAAACGATTGAGAAGATTGAAGTGGACTGAACTGTAAGGAAAATAGAAAGGAATTGGGACAAAAACAAAATTGGAAGAATCATGTGGGATTTAAAGGAAAGCTGATGAAAGATGTGCAAATAAAATATTTAATATATGTTTCGAATAAATTGAGCATTGGGTAGATTGGTATAAATAAATAAATAAACAAATAAATAAAATATTTGTAATATTCCAATGAATAGAAAAATTAGATTTTCTGACATTTCGTGACTCAGCGTAAGCCACTTCTTCAGAAAAAAAATATGTAGTTAACAATATTTATATTATTTATTTATATTTAATATAAGGTTTCCATATTTTACAAAGACACTATGTAATTCTGAACAGAATAATAAATTGGTTTCCCCACCAATTCTTCGATCGCTTTAACTAAACTATTGATTGAAAATGATGTTATTACAATGTAATCTTTAATTCTCTTGATATGCAAACATTATGATTGGTTTTTAGTTAATGGTAACAATTCTTTTTCGCTTGTTTACTCTTCTACCTGTTCCAACTTTTCAAATGAATGTTTTGTGACCATACAAATTAAAACAGAAACTCTTTTAATATATTTGAGCATTTCAAATGATAATTGATTTTATACACAAGTAGATTGATAGTCAACATTATAATGTGGCAAATAATACATATCGAATTCAACACATTCGTATTACTTAAGATAAAAGTTGTAATTTTACTTTTAAAAAATAATGAAAATTAACTTACAGAATAAAATTTCACAAGATCTCTTAAATCGGTGAATTGTTCAGGATTCGCAACACCATACAATTGATAAGTACTCTTAGTTGTATTACGTGAACCAGAATTACTTTGTTTTACTGCAATCACTGATACAAGGAAATGATTGCAATAGGATGATGTAAACAAACTGATAACATAACCTAAAAATGATTCATTCAAATGTAGAAGGAAACTGCCATTCTTATCAGTTTTAGTGAGCAGACGTTCAGCTTGTTCACGAGAGAGAAATCCTAATAAAGAGAAGTGAATATAAGTAATCTGTTTTATCAGGTGAAATAATCATTAAAAATAATAAATTAACTTTCAACAGTATATTAATCAAATGGTTAACAATTTGCTTTTAATTTCCTCAATAAATGTTCAATATTTTACGATTTTTGTTACTCCTAAGTAAAATATAATCTACGAATTATTTTACATTAAACATAATTGGACAAAATGTTAAGATATCATGGTTGGGGTTATCTTCAATGGTTCAGTGTTCTATAAGTATATCTTACAAGATATTATGGTTATTTTCCCATTCATTTAGTGGATAAGCGCTTTATTTTAGTGTAGTTTTCATAGCAAATTTCATTCCAACCTCTAAATTCACTTAAACCTACTGGATCGAACACGCTGCGACTCTATGGTTTAACCGAAGTTCACTAAACAAACCTCTTCTTCGTCCAGGTTTAGATATGTATAAGTGACCTCACCATAAAACTGCAAAGTGGCTATTTTGAATCCTAGATCCCATACTCAAACTAGTCGTCAACGGAAGCGTGTAAGACGTTTTTCATTACATTTCCAAGGTTGAACATATGAACGTAGATGGAAAACGGATGATGTCTCTAGATGTTACTTCCTTGTTCACCAATGTACATTTAACTGAGACTATTGACTTTGCGTGCCAACAACTACTCAAAAAAGTAGATCAATATTGGAATTTCCTAGGTAAGTCTCAAAGAATTACTTCTGAAATGTACAATCGACGTCCGTTTGTATTCTTGATAACACATACTGTAGACAAACTGATGGTATAGAGATGGGTTCACCTCTAGATCCCATCTTTGCCGACTTTTTTGCAAAACTAGAAAACGGACCTCTCAAAGAATTTGTTAATAAGCTTGACTTCTATTGTCGTAAAGTTGATGACACTTTCATTATTATCGATCAGAAAATCGGAAAAGAAGAACTCTTAGAACTATTTAACAACAAATATTCAGCAATTAAATTTACATGTGAAAAGGAACTAGATAATAATTTACATTTCCTCGACGTTTTGTTAAACAGAAAAGAAAACAGTTCTATCAGTAGAAGTGTGTATACAGAAAGTTCTTTATCAAGCCAGTACACACATTTCTTGAGCTTTGTACCCTTTCATTATAAGAGAAACCTAGTCAAGTGTCTTGCAATTGAGCTAGAAGATATGTTCAGTCGATACAATAAACAAGGAATTAGAGCTTATAAATAATATGTTGATTGAAACGGGTTATCCACAAGGTTTCCTGAAGAAACACTTGCATGTCATAAACAAGAAAATAGTGACATCAACGGCTATTAAGAAACCTCTCTTCCTAAAGCTTCAATTCAATCGAGATGTAGCTGAAGATGTGCTACGTAATAGACTGATTAGAGGAGTTAAGAGAACGTTTAATGCAGCCAACCTCTCTCTGTCGTACTCCACCGGATCTATGGTGATTCCTCAACTAAAGGATGAGTTACCCGGTTATGCCACTTCTATGTGTATCTACGAATTTAGCTGCTCTTGTGGAGGAGACTATATTGGGCACACTACCAGACAAATGAGCCAAAGAGTTAGTAAGCACCTATCTTCGTGGTTAGGAAAAGTTACTGTCAAGAACAATACACAGGTCGGTTCTATCACAGTTGATTGATAGCGGTCATGTAGTAAACAGAAATAAGTCATTTAGATTTATTTATCGTATTCCTACTCGTTTTCCTTATGGGGTTCGATCTCGTCTCTTACACACAGAAGAAGCTATAAGAATTCGGAAAACACAATCCAAGTCTTTGTGTTCATAAATTTTTAAAACCTTAATCTCTACTTTGGCCCTATTGAATAATGTTATTTATTATTATTTTACATACTCTTTATTTTCCTTCACCCCCTCCCACCGTTTTCTTTTTTCTCAAATATACGGCTCACGGTTCAATTATCTGGGCACTTCTTATTACGTAATCCTGTAATTTTGATGAATATTATTTCAGTGTCCATATTTTTCTAATCATTGAACTATTTCGCATTATGTAACAGTGATTCAAGCCTTTATCATCCTTATCACAACTAGTACACCTGTCATTACACTACCAATTTGTAATTTTTACTTATGTGTATTTGTGTAATCTATCCACTGTTATCACTGACTCACAAACTGCCTTGATTGGTTTAATAATTTTAAATATTACTGTATTTTAGAGTAAAGCCTGATGAGGATCTAATGGAAAACAATATTGTTCGTATATATATATATATATATATATATATATATATATATATATATATATATATATATGCTGTTCTAAATTCAATAAGCACCACTAATCCACTAATTCAACACAAAAATGATTGAATACCCCGAGTACGACACAACTTATAAATACGGAAAACATTTCGGAAAATCTCAGCATGATATTGTTGGTAAACACCTAAATATTTGGTAAAATTTCATTTTTGTCTGCATTTGGTAAGAACAAAAAAGTGATTGTGATGATTCTCACGAAGAAAATATTAAAAATGTCTGAGAATGATGATGAATATCAACTGAGCATCTTTGAAATACTTTTTGATACATATTTTTTCTACCATTCACAAGTTAAGTGGATATAAGATGGAAAATTCTAGTAATATTGCATATATGGTGCTACAAATCCTTTGCTGTAAACAGGTTACATAATACTGAATAAAAACATCCATATTACTCCTATTACTATTGCTATTTTATTTAGTTTCCTGACTTTTAATGTATGGGACAAACAAAAGTGAAGGACTAATGTCCATTTAACTTAATGATTACTCACGAAACAAGAATGTACTCAATCTGTTTAGATAAATAAGTTTTAGTGTGTTACTTGGTCAACTGTGATATAGCCGCATTATAGAAAACACGGGGCTAATTATCTCTAGGAGCATAAAAAATAATCAGAGCATAAAGTATTGACGGACATTACTTAGTCCAAACAATGTAAATGATAATTAGCCATATTATTTAGCTTAACTAATAGAGGTTTGTCAAAAAATATATAATCTGTTGATACTTATACAAGGCCTACCGAGTACAGTTGAATATCGACTTACAGGAATAGGGAAGCAGTTAGATATAGGTATGTATTCCTATGTTTTAGTACCTAACGAAGCTGTATGGTTGACAGATACCTCTAAGAACACATTTGAAAACCTGTATGATACTAAACTACAGTTAAGCATTGCATGATAATGAAACATAACCTCAAATTGACTCGCAATTTTTCTTATTTACGATCAGGTAATTCATCCAAGTTTCAAAGGACGACGTCAAGAAAGTGCTTTATTTCAATAAAAATCTCATGTAATTGTAATCAGTAGTTGATATCGCAAAGTATTTGGTAAAATTTTTGCAAGCATTAAATTTATTGACTAACTAAATGACTAACCGTGGAACCATTCAGGTACACGTGAAAATGTCAGCGATGATAAATTTGGACTAAAACCTGTAATTGGTAAACCGAAGTCCACAAGTAAACGTGCAGCTTCATAGCTTTCAAACCATTTATAAACTTTAGTTTTAGGATCCTCTTGAATTACATTGTTAATTTTACGTGAAGTCTTAACATCCGGTGTCCAAAACGCAGGTCGTGGAAATATTGATGGAGGTGAATTAATTCTACTAAATGTTGAATTTAAACTCTCTGTTAAAATGAAAAGTTTTGAAGTAAAAACAGTAAAAATTTATAACTGCAAAGAAAAACTATGGCTTGTGAATTAAAAATGATTTTTCAAATAGAAGTTAGCTATAAGGTTGATTGATTTTAGTTAGGCTTTCAAAAAAACCCCAGAAAGCATGTTAAATTATTTCATTCTGGTATGTGACTACTTAAAATAGCGACACTATGACTTCACAATCAAATCGATTTTATGTATCTTCCCAGTATTTTGGTGCTTTATACATTCACGCAACATCGATTAAAATATTTGACGATACTTTTAACATGGTTTTGATGGAGTTGTGTTCTCTGAGCTGGATGGATTGGTTGTGGAGCTTTCATCGTTCTTTTGAACGACATCGTCAGCACAAACTTCAGATAGAAGTGAAGTGTTCGAATTTCTCCATATGCGTTTACTTTTTTGTCTTGGTAAAGTAAACAATGGAAAATTTAAGGTCAATAAGAACCAATCAACATCGAGGTGCACAGAACAAGCTGTGAATCGCATATGGAGAAATTCGAACACTTCACTTCTATCTGAAGTTTGTGCTGATGATGTCGTTCAGAAGAACGATGAAAGCTCCACGACCAAACCATCCAGCTCAGAGAACAAAACTCCATCAAAATCATCCACCTGAGCTACAAATCTTCTCCACCATTTAAACATGGTGTTTGTGTGTTTGAATTGTTTTAGTCTCAATCACTGATTGTGCCAGTCCATAAAAAAGGATAAAAGTCCTCTTGTGACAATCACAAAGGAATCAGTTTGACTAATATAGTCTTTAATATATTAATTTCAATACTGTTTATACACCTAACTAAAGCTCGTGGAAAGCAGACTAGAGAAAACCAGGCTGGTTTCCGACTTGGATGTGACTGTATAGACCAGATTTTCACACTACATCAGATCCTAGAACATAGACACATATTCAGACGTTCCTTAATCGTGGTATTTCTCTGCTTTAAGGCGGTATTTGACTTTGTCGGTCGTGAAGTTCTATGGCAGTGTTTGTCACTGAAAAGAGTACTAAAAATTACATCAACCTTATAAAGGCTCTCTACTCGAACACAACTGGCCGAGTGAGAGCTTATGGTGAACTGTTATCAGAATCGTTTGAAATGACGCAGGTGCATCCACTCTTTGTGTTCTCCCGAATTCTAATCTTCTGAATTCTTCATGTCCCTTTTTTCCTCTTTCCAAATTTATTTCACTGGATTATACTCATTGGATAACATCTTCAAACCCTAACGTTTCCGATTACTGCCTGTAATTTTGCTACCTCTACCACTATTGGATTTGAATCGACAATTGTATCTCTGTGCTAATGTGGTATGGCAACGTAAACTGATGTACGATGACTGACTAGTTTGATTATTCTGTCTATCCAAAAACTATAGCGTACATATTTAACAACTTAATAATATTTTGAAGAAACAAATAACTTACGAATATTATCAGTATGATTTGAAAGTTGTTGTACTGATGAATTATTATTATTATTATTCAGTGTTTTTCTTTGCTGTGGTTGTTGATATTTTATCAATGATGGTAGTTGTTTGTTCTCTTGTCTTAATTGTTGTGGTTCAGGTTGTTTGGTAAAACGTGTCATTATTGTATAATTAGATGGATTTGACGAAAATGTAATCGATGAAGATATTTTATCTAATTCCGATGTTGATGATGAAAGTGATGGATCGATCTGATCATAATTTTGATTTGACGAATTACAGGGATTGTTTAATAAACTGATTCGATTAAAATGGCTTTTTGTTATGGATAAATTTGTATTATCTATGGCGGAACTAGGTGGGGTTCTTTCATTTATGTGATGATTTTGATGAATTGGTGCTGGTGATACACTGGTTGGTGTTGTTACTGGAGGACTACTTAATGGACTTCTGGTTAATACAAAACGTTTCAATGTTTTATTTGTGGTTGCTGTTGTTCTTGTTGACAATGGGATTGAATCATCAATGGATACATCGCTTCCTTGGTTCGTCGTATTAGAAGGGTCAGTGAGAATAGTAATGGAACTATTAATATTATTATTAGGACTATTACGCATTGTGAACTGAAATGCATTCTTGGTATCATAGGAGTTCTTAAGATTCATACTACTGTTATTAATTTGTCTATTATTATTTGATTGTTTATCTAAATCTAAATAATAATTTCGATTATTACTAGTAATACTACTAGTACTACTGTTAATACTGCTACTAACATCGATACTGTTATAATCAGAGTTATTTGTTCTCATTATGATATTACTAGTATCGACATAGGTATTATTATTATTATCATTACTATCATAAGGTGTGGTAGTTGTCATAACTACAGAAGTATTATTACGATTATTGTTTGATATACATACAATGAGAGTGTCATTATTATCGGATTCTTGATGTTTGTAATTATTTCTATGTTTATTTGTATCAATATTATTATTCTTGAACTCCGTGATTTTCTCTTGACTATTCATTTGTACTCCTTTTCCTCCACCTTTTATTTGTACGTCAGTTCTGGCATTATTATTATTATTACTATAAAAATCGTTAGAATGAGAATATAAATTAAGGGTAGTTTCATTTTCTGGTGAATAAAAATGATTTGATTGTGCAGCATTTTTTGTCATGGTCGCAACTGTTTCATTTGTTATTATTGAAGCGTTATTATTATTTTTATTATTCATTTTTTTAAAAGAATTTTGATTATTTTCATTATCTTGTATAAAAGGTTTGGTAATAGAAAAATATTGTCCATTTGTTTGACTTTGAATATTCTTATCGTTATGATTATTATTAATTTTATTATTATTAGTGTTATTATTATCATTATTAATATTACTATTATTATCAATGATATTGTGACAATTTTTACAATGTCCATTCAGAGTAGGAATATTACAGCTTGTAGTAATATCATTGTAGTTTGTAGTATTAGATAAGGATGGAACAAAATGATTATTCGTCTGTTGATTTAAATTTAATTTTCGATTGAAAGGTGTTGGAGATAAAATAAAGGTATGATCATTATTATTAATATTAATATTATTATTACTATTATTATTACTGTTTCGATTATTGTTATTTAGTGAAGATTTAGAGTTATTATTAGCAACACTTAACATATCTGATATACTAGAATCAATTGTTTTACTAGCTGTGTTTATAGATGAATTTGTTGGTGCCGTAGTTGAAGAAAAAGAATAAGATGATGAATCATAAGTGTATGATGTAGAATCATGTTCTGAAACGGATGAATCAAATGATCCTTGAATTAAATTTGGTTGAATTAGACGTACACTATTTTCATGACGCTGTTTATAGGAATAAGTAAAACAAGCGTACACGATTAAAACATGACACACTGAATGCTTTTTGCTGCCAATAAAGATAAAAATCTAGTAAATTAATTCGATCTATACCATTATTAGTGAGAATTTGAGCTAGTCTGTTATTAATATTCAGGACTGAAATTTGATGTCATTATTGGTGTGTGAATCCTGTTTTGATTGCCTTGATGTTGTCATTTTGACATAATCTATGTAGAATATATAGATTATGCATAGCTGCGAAATGAAGGAAGAACGATTTGTAATGTTTAGAACACAGCAGCTAGATTTATCTACTGCGTCTGAGTGTAACTGTGAACATCAAAATTATGGCTCAAGTACATCCAAGTGACAGTTTACAAACTAAATAAAACGCGCAACGTGAATTCTACTGCAAAATACAATCCGTCCGTTTTTAATAAAATCGTTTAGTTTACTGAGCTCCAGTCACTATGTGTATTTGGGTGTTTCTTGTGTCAGTAATTATGAAACTTATCGACCACTAGATACTTGAATTCACGTCGCTCAGCTATATCTGCAATATTCATTCAAAACTGGTCCTCGGACAGAATGATATTCTTCACTCTTTAGTATTCGATAACTTTATAATTTAATTTCTGAAGATAAATATATATAGTTAAAACGAAATATTTAGTCTACAAACTTCAAGAGTTCATTTTAACGCCTTTTGTACAGGTCTACAAAATCAAGAACTGATTTATCGTATTTTCGGATTTTACTTGCAGAGAAACTGAGGATGCGTATTTTACCCTATTTGAAACTACATAATCACAGTATTTAGTCTCAAACTAAGACCAGAACACATTCAAAGTGATTTTGAGTACTGTTTCCCATATCGTGAAATGATACTTCTTTTTTAGAAACCTGAAAATAGAACGTGATATTGATAGATTTGGAGAGTTGCTAAAAAGCCTAAAAGACAAATACTTGATATCAAACAGACATGGGCTTTTAACTAGTAGTTATAGATGTACTAGCTCCTTACTTTAAAATCCTTAGCTAAAGAGACCAAAATCAGTAGCCTAATCAGAACCATTTTTTGTTAGAAAATAAACATGAGTACAATAAAACAGGAGAAACTGAAATCATACTCACAAGGAAAAGTGTAAACATTTGTATTGATATTGAATTTACATATTTACAGAGGATTGGATCCGGCATCTTCAAGTACCATAGTGAGCCCATAACCTTTAGACCGCTTAGTCATCACCCAAAGGTTTATGATATTAACTCCAATCATTTCTGAATGTCGTGTAACCATCTTCCTATTCATCTGATATTTAACTATCTCAAACTCGACACTTTCGAACTCCGCTAGTCACGTCTTCTCACCAGGTATCCAGAAACACTCAATGAAGTTATCTACTAGTGAGCACAATATCGTGAAATAGTTGACAAGAGGTACGCACTCTGTTAGATGGTGTCCCACCATGGCACTTGAAGGTCCTGTGTTTTGCCCCGGTGGAATTGTGAATGCACACTGTCAAGGAGTCTTTTACTAAGACAAAACAGCTACCCACTTTTCTGTATCTATCAATGCATGTCTAACTTAGGTTGGTTTGTGATATCAATAACATTCAGTAATCTTCACTATCATGTGTATTGATAAAAATAGTTATGTGAAATAAAATATCATAAATTTCTTTGCAGCTGGACTTTTTGAGGAGTATCTCAAGTGTAATGAATATAAAACTTCATGAACCGATAGTTTATGAAATTGAAAACTAACTGAAAAACAATCTAATTGAGCTCTATTATAATCCAATCATATTTTTAGTGATTAATTAACATCAATGTTAAATGAAAGAAAGCTTCAAGTTAAAGTAACGATTTGATGTTTTGAGTCCTTTGTAGTAAAAAAAAGCACTAAATGTCGATTGCCGTCTTGTATAAGAATTGTATTACTTTTTAAATAGACTAAAATATGATTCATATATTTTTACACAGGTTGATGAAGTTAAACAATTTATGTCAGTCTGTCATGAACCGTGTAGAACGCGAAATATATATGCAACCGTTAAAATTTCCACACAACATATAAGCATAATGAAATGAAATTACCAAGAAAAATGTTAGCTTAGTTAAAGCGCTGATAGTATTAAAGGAAACGGAAAGCATTAGTCATGACCAATATAATCAAAGAGGAAAACATTAATCCAGGCGATACAAAGCATAATTGTGAAAATCAAGATCCAAGAGAATCCAAAAAGCGGGGTGGATCTGTTCTATTGTGACTGTTGATGAATTATGTCATCCAATATCACCAACCATCTGTCATGATGATCAGATGAACACCAATTAGGTATTCAGTACTTAGTATTCGACTCAGTCTAACAAACTGAATCATAATGATGCCATGTCCTGGTTTGGATACACCTAGTTTTCTTCAAGCCGTCTCTCATACCAGAAAACTCAAAATTCGAGTGTAAATATAAAGAATGAAATAATTATATTTCAAATTATTCATATGGGTTTGTGTTTTTCTGACGTTGTTATTATGTTTAGGACTGGATTCGATCATTCACTTTCGGCGTACGTGCTATTTAAGTGATTGACTCTGTATTTATCTTTAGCTCATTAAGTTTTTGAATAGTGGCTAATAGTTAAATGGTCGTAGGTAGTCAGTAAAATATCCTGGTTAATCTTTGCTTCGCGTTAGCTAATAATTGTCAACAAGGGGTACTTCACGATCTTAAGGAAACCGGTGTTACCGCATTACCCAGCTTCAAAGTTACCACCGAGTTTATCGAGTAGCAAATGGCCCCTGTTGGTTTAAATTATTTAGCACTGATCAAAAACTCAGTAGTGATCAATGACACTTATGTCTAGTCATTTAGGTTAGCAACGCTATATCACAATAACTTCAAAGTAAATATTCAGTGTTCCACTACTATCGACTATGCAAAAATACAGTAGAACAATAATATTTAGAAATTAATTTAAACTTCCACGAAAAAATTCATCACCTGTTGATCATTTCTATGTGTCATACTTGCATTATCTGTTGAATATGACACATTAGTTGTACTACTTGCAACTGAATTGCTATTTATAGTATTAGTCAATGTCGTAGTTGAAAATGTTACATTTGTTGTAAAAATTGACTTGATTGTTGTTGGTGTTGTTATCGCTGTTGTTGTTGTCGTTGTTATTGTCGTTCTCGTTGGTGTTGTGCTGTTAGTGGTCATTGTCAAGTTCATACCGTTTAGTTCTGAAGAGTTTGTTGATGATTCAAACTCTCTAATAACGACAATTGATTTTGATGAATTATTTGATGTAGTCCCCGATGATCCGTAGCCATCGGAGCTAAATTTCAATCAAAAAATAAAATAATATTAGAAGAGGTAAATAACAACTATTTATTGAATGAGTTCATAATTATTAATTCTTTCTTATGAGCTCACTTTCAATACTGAACAATCGTACTGATTTAAATATTCTTGGAAACCATAATTGATCATAGCTAATCAATTAAACGTATACAAATCAGTTCATCTGCTCTTATGGAACAAGTAATTAAGTTTCAAAACTCATAATTTAATTTATCTAATAATCAAATTAACATAAATCTTAGGAAATAAACTTGTTGGAGAAAAAAATCTTTTTTCTTCTCCTTTAATCTAAATATTCTATAATTTTACATAGATTTTAAAACAATAAGGTAGTTTATTGTTAATATTATTAAGAGCATTGAATTTGATGTGAAATTCAGTATTCATAGTAACTGGACAGTAAATATTTGTTCGATTATATTCAGATGTTAATTTCGTTTAAAGTATATATGTGATAGGGTGCGTTTCTTCCTATCTGAATGCAAATTTTTGCTTCAGGAATGGCCTGATGTAAATAACGCTCTCATCGACTGAATTCTCGGGCATTGATCTCCTTCCAGGAGAACTACTTATCGACTTAGAATATGCAGATGATATAGTCCTGTTTGGTGAAGACTCTGATAAAATGCAGAGTGTTTTGGTAGCACCGAGCAACAATGCCAGAATGTTTGGGATGCGCTACTCCCCATCTTAATACAAGTTGTTGCTTCAGGAATGGCCTGAGTAAACACCTGAACTAAGGATAGAGAGTGAAGTAGTCGAACGCGTTGACAACTTCACTTATCTTGGAAGTCTGATCAGCTCTAATGGGTTGATATCTAACGAAATCTCAGCACACATTCGAAAAGCTCGTTTGGCTTTCGTCAACCTACGTCACCTATTGTGAAGGTGAGATATCCGTCTATCAATTAAAGGACGAGTATACTGCCCAGCAGTTTGTTCTGTTCTACTTTATGGCTGCGAAACGTGGCCAACAAGGGGAGAAGATAGTCGAAAGCTACTAGTATTTGATCACACATGTCTTAGAAATACTGCTCGCAACTGCTGGGATCACCGGGTAAGTAATATTGAGGTTAGACGCAGGGTATTAGGGAATGATGGTAAATCAGCTGATGAGGTTGTGAATCTTCATCGACTGATATGGTTGGGTCACATGTTGTGTATGCCTGAACACCGATTACCACGACGTGCAATGCTGACTAGTGTTGGGGATGGTTGGAAGAATGTTAGGATTGGCCAAACCAAAACGTGGCATCAATGTTTGAGTTCACTAACTTCTGATCTGAGCCATGGTGGTAGATGCAGACTACTTGGTTGGGGTCCGCGTGACTATCGTAACCAATGGTTGGAGACTGTGTGTGACAGCGGATTGGGTATATACATTCTTTGTTTTCTCTTAAACCAAGAGATCAAAATCATTTCAAATCTTTCTTTCTACCAACTAATTCTTTCTTCTTGTACTATATCCTAATATGCAATCTTTCTTTTATATATTTCCATCATTGAATTAACTACATTTATGAATTCAGTGTTCATCTTGTTGTGCTAATGAGGTGTGATTACTTGTACTGATGAGTATATTTGCCTAGTCGTACGTTTTAGCTGATTGACTGACTGATATATGTGATTTTATGTGCAAAAATTATTTGCCATATAAATATAAACTAAAATCCGAAGTTATACAAATCTTCGATAATTCAAATAAGATAAATGAATGAGATGATGTAGCGTAATTTTGCATACATCTCAGTAGTTATTGATCTATAAATGAGAAGACACGTTGTCTGTAAATGTTATATTCATTTCTACCTAAGCCAATTTATTCACTAACAACAACATACACATAATTGTTTAGTCAGTTCTTATAATTGTATATAATTCCGACTACTGTTGAGTGATTTAGTAGTATATAAAGCGATAACTACATATTTTACAAAAAAAACATATTTTGATAAAATCAATGTATTCAATTTTACACCTAATTTCAAGCATAATATGATTATGAACAATAAAACTTGAAACAAACTATCAGGTAAAATTTCAAAAGTACTTTATTTAAGTAGTTCAGATTTCTGCAAACATAGTTTGATCTCAACAAAAAAGAATGTTTACTTAGTTATAATGTTTGAATTCATTTTTAATTTAACAATACTGTTAACTACGTGCCTGATCTGATTTTACACGAACTTCTACAAGATTATTTTATTCATATTTACTACTAGTTTTAAACAATGATTCATTTACACTTAACATTCTCTGACTGTTTTATTATCGCTAAAAGGTACACACACATACATTCATATCATTTTCACATTGTAAGCGACGTTCACAACATATATCTCATTTAATTACTGTAAAGAAAATGAACACGATTGAACGAGTGTATAATATGGTTTCGTCAATAAAATTTATATATTCTATGATATTGCTGATTTCGAATATTTCCCTGAGGATGGTCATACCATTTTGCTGGATGAAATTTCGGAAGTATTTCAATTCCAGTCACTGAGATTATTTCATATTTGATCTTTTATATAATAAGTGCAAAGTTTCTGTCAAACTATTAGTTTATATTTCAACGCAACTGTATGTAGATAGTTAATTTAATATGGTGTTTTTAACTGAATCTCAATCCTCATGAAAACTCATACACATTAATTGGAGTTGATTTCATTATCTCTGTCATTCAGTAAATGAAATTTGTTACAACCAAATATCTGATATAATTACTGCAATTGCGTTATTAAATAACTGAAAATTATGAACAGTTAAAAGAGCACTTGAAGGATGACAATTTTTAAACATAGATGGATAAATTGAAATACCTAAAGGTGCTAGATTTTATTCCCAGGGTGGTCGTGGGTGCACATTGGTGATGAGTTTCATACTAGAACGAAGTAGCTGTCCGATTCTCCTTGACCTTTAGTCGTTGTATAATTAAAGTCTTAGCTTAGAGTGCAATTTTTATGAAGCATTTCATCTCAAGTCCTATCTTTTATCATATTTGTGCTTTTTGTAATAAATATCTGGCTGCATCAAACACAACATGTTCAAAACCAGCTTCTGGGAACGATTACACTGGGTTGGAATGAAGTTCATCACGGAAATTACATTCCAATGTTTAACACCGACACATTAAAATGAAAAGGAAACCGACCAAAACTCAAAGGTATGACACACTTAGTAAAGACAAAAAATAACTGTTAACCTTACCCAATCTTTCAGTGTTTTGAGCATTCCCAACTAATTTTTGAAATACCTCATACTATGTTAATGTTAATTTATTGAGATTACAGTGTGGTTTTCGGTCAACCTTAAACGTTTAATTAAGTCACATGTAAATCATGATTTTACAACAGAAAACACTTTCTATCACATTGAATCAATAGTTTATTGCAACGTTTTGCATGTTTTTCAGTGATACTATCAATAGAAAAGTAGTTAAACAAGAGAAGCTGAGATCTATAGAGGCTTACCCACATATTATCATATAATTAATAGTTCAAAAAGTCAACATTCTAAAATAATTATGAATAATTAATAACTTTTAAATTTTCAAAGAACAATGTTTATTTTGATTAAAAAACTTCGTGAGAAAAAAACAAATGACAGACTAAATGGTTTATTTCATGGACTGATCTTAAAAAACCATTTAAAATATGAAAGCCCTGGATAGATTTTTGTATGGATCTAAGGCAGTTACTGAACAATGACATTGGAAGATAACCAAGAAAATTTTTATTATGTACTGTACTTCCGAAGTATTTTTCACACATTTATTCCTATTATATTCAACACAAACTATTATTATTTTATACGGTAGTAGCAGTCATTTATGCACTCAATTCAGAGTCTGTATTGTCTATTGCAGACCAGTATGGCACACACATCATACTGTATAAATTGAGGTAGCTCAATGAGAGAATTCAAATGTGTATATAATGGCTTAAATCTAGACAGTCTAATCTGTAAGCTAACACCTTATCAAGACTAAACACAACCGACCAAAATACACCTTATTTAGTGTACAATAATGAAACATTGACTAATTAGTCAATCGATTAGCCGTTATATAGTACACCGTTATAGAAATAAGTATAAAAATATCTACAGTAAAGAATATCTGTACGGATGTTGAATATTATGATTATATTAATTACCTAAGCTTATAATGTCATTTACTAAAAGCAATAGATTCTTGTAACTTAGATCAGTTTTCATCGAAAGAACTGACATCATCTGGAAGGCTGTTTAGAACTTTGAAACAAAGAATGTAACTTCGTCCAACTGAAGAAATCCGTAATTCTTCAAAACCAAAAAGGAACGAAGCAAAACGTCTTCGTATCTTCAAGTCAGCACAACACTTAAACCACTGAGTTAGAAATCACTGGTTAGTATCTACGACTTCAATTAATTTTACGTATTTAAGAATACCGTTAACTGAATTTATCACCCATAGCTCGTCATTATAAGCTTAAGAATCTTTCTGCAATCTATGCGCCAGTGAAAGTGTATATTATTACACAAAAGTTTTGATAATAATTTTAACTATATACGAAAATGTATTCGTGAATGTTTATATCTTCCCTTTGTCGGTGCTAAGGACTAGGACCAATCTTATCTGAATTCATATAAACTAATAATAACTGATCAGTCACAGACCTTAACAACAACAACAGCGAAAAGATATGAACATGTAAAAATACCCTTTGAACAAGTTAAAAACTGAAAGCCTCATTTTTTTCACGCCTAAATGTGTCTTGTATATGATACATTCACAGTGATATCTTATTTTTATTAACCTGTAGTTTATCTTTACAAATGAATCAATGTTTAACTGTGACATATACAAATCTCTTCACTATGATTTACATAGAATTGATTAACTTTTATTTATATAAACAGAACGTCAAAATTATATTAGATGGTTTTCTTTTTTTAGAACCAAAAATATGAATGTAAATATTGTTTGAA